CCACGAACTCCAATCGTATTGCGTGAAAGACTTAAGACCACTGTCGACAAACTGATTGGATATTATAAGTGTAGCTTCAAAGCTGATCAATCAACCATTTACCAGATATTCAAAAAGAGAATTTAAACACCACCTCTTTTTTCAATTCTAAAACACCCTACGTCAGCACGGCGATTAAAATTAAGTAGTTTCCACGACATTCGGGTTTTTATACCAGAATGACACGGATTTTTATCCGCCGCAACATACTCTAAAAACTACTTTGGGAAATATAAAGGCGGTTGCAACAACAACACGAAGATGACCTACCCCTCCGCCACCACGGCTGTGTAAACTGATGTTAAACAACATCAAAAGCTACGTCTGGATCTGGAAGGACCTTTTCGAGCCGTTCGATACCAAATAAGGTTTCAGACAGAGTGAGGCCTCACAGACGATGCATCGATGAGCCAAGAGACAGTGGTTACGTTGAATAGATCATGTGGGCCGAATGAATTGAAAGATTTCAATGCTGTATCCACCAGTGGAAGCAGAGAAAGACCGTTGAAAAGACCAGGTTGAGGAGGACCCTGCGGTACTTGGTTACTTTAAGAAGAAGAAGAAGAAGAAGAAAGAAAAAGAAAAAACAATTAATTTGACATACAAACGTTTATGTAAATATATACCTAAATAAGTGAATATTTGAGTAAAAAATTTCAAAAATTCTTTAGACTTAAAATCTCATCTGAAATCTACTTTGGATAGGAACAAATATGTGTTCATTTCCATCAATCAACAGAAAAGTTCTGTGTGTTAATTATAAAAAAATTAAAACAACCAAAGTTTAATATTTTAATCAAAATAGTACCAAAATTCGTCAACTTCACAAACACAAATATAATTAACTGTTTATCGATACTTTTCTTCTCAATAACAGTGCTCCCACTCTGTGCGACTTCAACACTTGACCAAAATTCAATAGAAATATTTTATGAATGAGGAGCAACTACAAACACTTTACACAGAATTTGACACTTTTAGTGTTAATGCCGGTCACGACTCACTAGCATCACCTACACACACATACCCAAATGGATATTTATTTCAGTGTAGTTATAGTGTTGATTTAAATGCACACAAATAATGTGACCGTTAGTCGATCTCCTTACTTCCATATAATCAGCTTATCTTAATTGATTTTTGATGAAGGAATATTCTATACAAACATACACACAAACATACATACAAACAGACATAGATATGTAGATGACGAGTTGAACCTGTGTAAATATTCATAAATGAGCTGAAAGGTAACCAAACGGTAAATTACCTTTAGTAAACTTACAATTATGTCAACACATATCTACATACACATACACAAACGAAGCCTTATGTATTTAAATGTCCAGTCGTATGAGTAACCTCAACAGAGTATCCTTTCAACTGACAGCATCCCTTTGGTGTCGTCAATAAATTTCATACAGACTCTATGAAAATATTTTCCATATTTACCATTTCTCTTTACAAACCAATATAACAAGTTGTAGTAGTGACTTTTGTTTTGTTGTTGTTCCTGTTGCTGCTGTTTTTGCAAGGGATCACGCAACCGTTTGGCAGTGAGTAAATTAAATTATACATTTGGGGCTAAGAGACACACACAAATTTGATGAAACTGAAATTTTATGGTTCAAATATAGACAAACTTTTCGACATTAGTGCGCCCCCATCGGGACAGGTATACAAGCCACAGCAAATGTAAGTATGTACAATATATTCATAAATGGCTTAGAAAAGCAAGGGAGTGCAGAGAGGGAGAGCGGTTAGAGCTGAATATTTAGGTTCAGTTTACTGCTTTTAAGGTGAAGAAATGTCACAAATAATAAATATTAGAGAATATAAATAAAATTAATTAAATTAAATTTATTTAAATTTATTTAAACTAAATTAAATAAAATTAACTAGCGTAAATAAAAATAATTTAAAATTAAATCAAAATATATAAAGTAATTGGGGAAGGAAAATAATGTAATATAAATTAAAATAAAATTTAATGAGTAAAAATAAACTTAAATTAAGTTAAAGAAAACTAAAATAAAAACTAAATAAAATGAAAAAAAATTTAATCGCTGTTTTTTAAGTAAACTCGATTTATATTTAAATTTATGTGAGATTTAAAAGTAAATTGAAAAAGGTTTGTGACTCGACAATAGTCTCTAATTACAAACTAATTTGCTACAAATACACACTCAAATGCTTCTTTATGAATTATTTCGTCTGTGGTTAAGAATATTGCCACATAACTACCGAATGCGATTCTTAAACCAACAAAAAAAAAGGTTGTAGTGCTAACTTTCAATTGCTGCAACCACATACCGTTAGCTCTTTTCATTTCTCGATGTTATTGTTGTTTATTTTTTCATTTTTTGGTGAACCGAAAACAAACTTTTGTGGAATTTTTCGGTAGTAAAGTGAATATTATTGTGATATCATTGCTTCTTTCAAGAAATGGTGTGAATTGAATTGCAAGTGGTCAGTGTTGCAATGCAAGCGAGCGCAGTAGATTGCCCAATGTGAGGGCAGACAAGTGGCAAGTGGCAATGGCAAAAGCAAGCAACAGCAATAGCAATAATAATAGAGACTACAATAAGCACTAACAACTCAATTATCAATCGTGTGTGTGTGTGTGTGTGTGTGTGTGATAGAGTGGGACACTGCTGTCATACACAGCCATACAAACACACATACATACATACATACATAGAAATTCTTCATGCTTCTAAGTAGTTTCTCGAGCTTGTACACCAACATTGAATAATGAGGTTGTGTGGCTGCTGCAAAGCTTTAAATTGCATTTTGGTGTTGTCGTCGTGGCTATTTGAAGGTGTACAGTAAGTAGTACACCCATACTCCCATATAGACGAGTACGTATGTACGTATATGTTTTCATACAAAACTTCGTGCAATGTGCGTTGGCGCCAATGTGACTATTGAATTCCTTTTGTGATTTGAGTGCTCACAACGAAGGAAATGTGATTCGATTATGTGGAATTGAAAATATATAATGATAGAAGATGTGGTTGAAAAACGAGGAGAAGAGTGGCTGCGGTTTCTTCGAAAATTCATAATTCCCCCCTAACCTTATTTTGAGCGAAATGTTTTATTTTTGGTTTTTTATCAAGAAAATTTTTCAACTATTGTTTGGGGGGTGAGCCTCTAAGCGACCAGGGTAATTCAGAATAAAATTTTCCTCAGTGCAACGATTTCATTTTGTAGTTGCCGACGGTAGGTGGAGCTATAATTGATATTCTTGTTGGCCTTCGGACCTTTGTAAAATGGCAACAACTGCAGACTATGGAATGATGAGCCGTACGCCGATGATTTATACGACGACACTAACATCGATCAGCGAATTAAGAGAAAGTGTCTGCGCAGCGTCCATATGGGAGAATACGCGGTGGCTTAGGAAGTTGTTGACGCAGTATCCGCTGGTGGAAGCAGAGGAAAGAGGAAAGGCATTCCATTTGTTTGAAGGGTCAAATGAAGAAGCACATAACTTCACTTCGTGTACCCCGCTTTCACCGCTCGGCGAAGAAAAGTAGCAACTGAACCTGTAACCTAGCAGCCATAGAAAGTGTTCTCTGCATAAACGCAATATACTCTGAAAGTTAGTCATTAGATCTCCTCTCTCCTTTCTAAAGCAAAATAAGCTATAGTCTCGTAAGGGGCTGAACTTCGACTCAAGTTTTTCGTAGAACTTTCCTATATAATCCCTATTGGCCTTTTTCTAAAGTTCTTTCTGCACAGACACTTCAGTCACTTCCTATTTCTGCCCCTATTCAAGTCCCGGTGTCCATCCCACACAGCGCACCTAAAAGTCGTTCGCAATATTGCGAAATAGGCAGTATTTTTAACTCCACTTCATTGTCCATCTCTTCTTAAGTAGAAACGATGTTCCACAGGTCCCCTATACAGAAATGCTGCCCGTTGAGGTTTACCTTTCCAAGCGTTGGTTGACGCGAATTATTGGCGCAGACACAAAAGTATAGTCTGAGTCGATGTTAGAAGCCCAGAGAGTATGCACATCGTCCTTCTATTACAACTTTATCCATTATCGTTCTGTAGACTCCCAAAAAGCTTGATCAATTATGTTATGTCGAAATCTGGTACTACCATGTTCGACAAGATACGATAAAGTCTATCAACGCCAGTCGCTTAATGGAAATCTCTTGGTGGATGCTCAATTTACCAATTTACCGGCCATCAAGGGCAATTAATTTACCCAACCAGCAATTAAAGTCGCCTCGAACGATTTTTATGTAGAGACGCAGCCAGTGCGTCCCAAACGCAAGTGAGAAAGTATATTCGGGAATTTCGTCCATCTCTTCCAGCAGCACACGGAGCGTGAGTGCAGATCAACACTTCATTGATAATCTTCGCTTTGATGAGGATTGTTGAAAAAATTTCGTCCATCGGAATGAACGATAATACCTGATGTCTCAATCTCTCCCGCTAGATTTACGGCGATCCTAGATTTACTTTTTTTGAGGACATCAACTACCTGGACAATGATTCATTTCCAATTAAGTGAACTAACATCCCAGGTGCGTGCTCTCAAATTTTAATTATTTATACCTTTGCTGTAGTCCTGATTGATATTGGAAGTTCATATCCGAGAATTTGTACCCGATTTAGCGAATGCCGCCATTACCAACCACCACTCACCCTACCCCTGTGTAAAGAATGCAAATGGAATTTAGAAAATCATTCGTTGATATTAATGAAATTTCCAAAAAACAAAAAATAAATATTTTGTTTTTTAGCAGTCTCGGTTTTTATGGGACAGACATTTTTTGAACTCATTAGCAACCTCTGAGATTCTGAGATTTGGGTTCAGACTCCTACAATATCAAGGCTTTTATCACATTCAACAAAAAATTTCCCTCGAGCATTGTCAGTTTGTAAAAAAAATATGAATTCAGGGCAAGGAAATCCTAAAAATAAACTAAAACAATTTGGTATATTCGCAAATTTATTCGTATTTTTTATTCCAAAAGCATTTTTAGAATTCATATAAATATATTCTTTTAGAAGATTTCTCCAAGTGGTTTTATGGTCAGCTCATGAATCTGAAAATCAATGGAGAATGTTTATAAAAAAATTCTATAGTCCTTTAAAGCTTTAAATAAGCATTCAATCATCAGCAGGACTTGGCAATACATTATGGCTTTCAGAAAAGTTACAAACCTGCACATGTGGCGGCGTCTGCAGACAGTAAATTAAAGCATCGGCAACATCTTCAGATTGTAAAAATGGCGAATCGCCTAAGGCAGCCTTCATACGTGGGGTTATGATTTCAGTATCGACTGCACCGGGACTGATATTCTGGAATTTTAGATAAAAGCTTGAATTAAAGCTCAAAAGCTCAAAAGAACTTTCACGAGACGAAGGAATTTATGTAATCATGACTCTCTGTCTGTACCTCCACTCAACTGATCATCCGTACGTTTTTATTTCTACCAACACAAAAAAGAAACAACTCACCGTGATTTTAATGTTTGTCTCCTGTGTGGAGAACTCCTGCCGATAGACCTCCGCCATGGCGGTCATTGCAAATTTTGTCGGTGGATAAATATTCAGCGAATGATTCGGTATTCTATACACATGATGTCCCGTAATACTGTTAATAAGAAAGACATGTCCATCACCGCCGTTGGCTTTCATCGAACGAAAAGCCTCTCTTGTACAATTCACAACACCGAAGATATTCGTTTCAATTACATCCTTTATGTCCTGCTCGTTATTATCATTCACCAAATTCGTGGTACGCACCACAGCTGCATTATTCACCAGCACAGCTACTGGACCAAATTTAGTTTCGATCTCTTTGAATGCAGCGATGATCTGTTGTTGATCGCGTATATCACATTTTATGGCATGCAGACGATCACGTGCCTCCGGTTGCACTTGTTCACGCAGTGCTTCCATGCGTTCCTTGCGTCGCGCCAGACCCACTGTGATCATGCCATTATTCGCGAGATATACGGCACAAGCAGCGCCAATACCCGAACTGGCACCGGTGACAACAGCAACGCGATTTTGCCAGCGATCCATATTAGAATATTAAATTGTTTACTTGCGATCGTCAGACAATTTAGCCAAAGAAACTGAAATTTGCAGAGAAGTCACTGCTGCTTTTATATCTGTTCATTTTATATATATATTATTGTAATGCATCAAAGACAATAATATATATGTATGTGACAACAATTATTAAACATATGTACATACCAATACCATAGAGTTTTGATAATTTTTGCGGAAATCAACTTTTACATATAAGTAATTGGCACTTTGTGACCGCTGGAGCGATATTAGGCCGAACTCCTACTCCAATTTGTGGTATGGGTTTTGATATTTTTCCAACAAGTGGTGGAGCCTGAAGTTTATACTAACCCACTTCCGAACGGCTGATGGATTTTTTACAAAGAGTCTTTATTTCCTGTCAGAAATATACTCGGAGCCCTTGGAATTCCCTACCGAGGAGCGACCGCAATTAGTAAGATTAATTTTCTATAATTTTGAATGTTGATCGAGCTGGGACTCGAACCCTGGTCTTAATTACGATATTACGCAGCACTAACCACTGGGCAAATTGATTGTTAATCATTGAAATTCAATCAATCGAAAATATGCCGAAATGCAATTCGTCTGGCCTAAATGCCTACGAGATAATGACAAAGATTATATTATAAGTATGGCTTTGTCTCTGAGCTGGTGGTCTTCACTTAATCTCAGAAATAAAGCAGTAAGTTCTGGTGGTTTCTGGTTAGGGAGCTTATCTTGAGATGAACTTTTATAAATATATGGAAGCTCGTAACTTAATTACCCCGAACTCACATGAGAGATCTTCTTTGTTATTGTTGCCACATTATTCTATGGGATTTTCAAGATTGAAATAATGAAAATACTGATTGTTATACTTTCATCAGAAGTTTATTACAATTTATTCATCTAGAACTCTATTTTCTTTTGAAGCTTTACTAAAGGAACTTTCAAAAATAAAGCTTTTTCCAGTGTGATCTACAAAACCGGGTCGAAGAAGGTGGGTCGTCCTGAAATGTTTGAGCTATAGCGAACATATTAAGGTGGCGTTGGTATCATGGCACATATGAGACTATGTCACCAAGTTCTGGCATTCAACTGGGTGAATGATTATCTTTAAAGTGGAGTTATTGAATTTATCTTTTTGATAAAAGATGCTTTTTATGAGCGCTTAGAACACACCTATTATGAATGTAATCCTCGCCACGAAGTCAACATTGTGTTTGGCGATTTTAACGGCTCACACGAGTTGAGACGATAGATAGGCCTCCGCGGGTCCCAATGTAGGGTTGAGCGTAGTATCACAATCCGACACCAAAACGTTCATTAAGCTACATGGCTATCACGAAAATCAGGCAACCAAATCTATCAAGTGTTGATGGGCGGATGACATGCTCCCAGTGTTCTAGATGTGTTTACTTTCCGCAGACTTAACATCGACTTGGATCACTTGTCCCGTAACACCCGTGAACTAACAAATGGAAGATTCGACTTCAAAAACTGCAATCACAAAAAACAAATGAACGGTGTTATCCTTGAATTGCACACCTGCTTTCTGGGAGCACTCATAAACGACTCAGAATCGTTTCATACGCACCGCCGCTACGGTAGCAATTGGTTTTCGACACCGTCAGGAAAAGAGTTGGTACTCTTGAGGAATGCCGAGCTATAGTGAAGAGAAAACAAATTGCCTACCTCGCAACATGTGTGGGATGGGATAGATACCGTGAGCCGCAGAGGGAATCAAAACGCGCTTGCAAACAAAAAAAAAAGAAGAGATTAAAATGGAACGAAGAATGTAATCTTGTGACCTATGTTCAGAGCTTACATACATAGTGTGTGCAGCGAACACTTTTTCAGCATGCTGAATGGTAGTGAAAGTGCAACAAACGGAGATGGTAAGCCAATACCCGACTATGATGATGCGATTGCCTGCAAGGCGGCGAGAGCGGATGGCTCATCGGCTCAGCTAAATAAATATGGGAGCGAAGAACTGTGAATTATCGGATGAATGTCCGCTTAAGTTTGCATTGGCAACACCGAATATCGCACTTAATGGAGCCATGGAAGAACGATACTCTTATGTGAAGGGTGCTGTAGTAAAAGGTGTTATTTTGAATATCCTATTTATTCCGGTAGATGTCACTTTTAAAGCTGTATACTTTTGTCAGTAAAAACTACGCCAAGAATAAAAATGGAACGAAACACGCTTTAACAACGCATCGAAATGATACCATAAAAACCCTATATTTCAAAATTATTCTACAACTCTACCATCCCCTTCAAAGTAGTCCCCTTGATCCCCTTAGAGGCCAAATACACGCTGAGGGCGGTGTGGCACGGCGCGTTGTCGTGATGAAGATTTTAGTTACGAGTGTTATCTGGGCGCCCTCTGTTGACTAGTTTTCGCAAAGTTTTGAATATTTGCCGATACTCGAACTGCTAAACGTCGATTGATTGTATTGATATGGACAACATTTACTTTCAACAAGACAGCGCTACGTACCACACAAACAACGTATGCATCGATCTTTTAAGGGAAAAGTTGCCGGACCGTATTATCTCTCGAAAAGGAGGCCACCGGGATCTTGTGATTTCACACCTTGCGACTGCTTCCTTTGGAGGCACGTGAAAGATAAAGTGTGCGCCAACAGACCAACGTCGATACAAGACCCCACAGATAGAATTCACGAAGCTATTAAGGGCATACAGCAGCCAAGTTGCTATTTAATGATGGAATATTTCATAAAAAAGATACGGTCCTGGTAGCGTAGCCGTAACGGTCGTGTTAAAAGCTTCAAAAGCTTATTGAGAGTAAAAACGCCCCAAAATAAATGGATTCTGCAAAAACAAGACTTTATATAGAGGATTTCAAATCCTAAAAATTTTACTTAATTTCCAAAAAAAAAATAACATTAATGTAGTAAATTCCACGAAAATTTCAAAAGCAATTTGAAAAAACGTGAACAACAAGAACTACAACACTTCGTGTGAATAAGAATAATGAAATATACGAACACTACAATATATAGTTTTGTACTGGACAAAGTAAAGCTTCAAGCATACAACGCCACGCTGCTGCGGTTGCTCCTGCAGAAGATGAAAAAAATATTTATAACAGCAATATGGTTGAAAAATGTTGATGGTAGCCACAAAAATGTTTGCCTTCCAGTTTTTTAAACTTTATTTTGTACGTGGCATATACGTGTATGTATGTGTGTGTATATATGAGTATGTATGTAAATACACTTTTTTATGCACGCTAACGATTCTTGATGCCTTTAAAGTTTGCCTGCAAGTGAGTATACAAACAAACATACATAAGATTGAATATACATCTACACATACATACATATATGACGGCGTGAGTAAGCGCACAGAGTTTGAACGCATAGCAGCAGCGGCAATGCGCAACACTTTACGTGCTATTATGGCGTATTGGAGCGCATTTCCGGTCTAACCGGAACTTCGAATGCGCAACAGAAACCCACAAGAGCAACAAAATAAAAAAAAAAAACAAAAAAAACCAAACAAGAGGAAAGAAAGTAACTACAGCACAATAACATAAATAGAATATTAAAAAAATAAATATATAGACGAGGAGATTAACAAAAGTTCGGTCAGTTGATGACTTTCAATTTGTTTTTGTTAAATCTAAAAATACCAAATCCTTTACAATTACTTTAGTAGTACTACTTTGAAATTTTAGATCGATCGACAAAAATGGCGACGAGAAAATGCAAGATAGCTGAGCATAGGTCAGAAGAAATTCCACCACCAACGCAAACAAAAATTCGCCATGTTACGCTGTTCGGTATTCGGACACAATTTACAGCCTATGTAAATATTCAGTGTATGCCAAATTGCATATGGAACGATTGCACCGTCTTTAATGAATATTTCTCAGTGGTTCAGATGATTCCAGACCGGCTATTTTTCCGTAGAGAACGAGCCCTGTGTAGGTCGACCAAAATCTTCATCTGATGACGTCACTGTAGTTCTGGTGAGGCCCAAAATTGACCAAGAACCACGATTGACACAAGAAATGATTGAAATGAATGCCATTGCTGTATCGCGAATATTAAGTAATCATCGGGGATACACGAAGAAATATGCTCGAGGCCAAAAAAAGAGGCTCGAGCGCGTATTTCTCAATTCTTCCTAAACAATTTCGAAAATGGTCCTTCTAGCAACTTTAGTGAAGTCATTGCTGGTAACGAAACTTGGTACTTTAAGTACGATCCAGAAATCAAAGAGCATGGTATGGAGCCCAACAGGAGCAAACCTGCCCGTAAAATCTAAGCAACAAAAATGAGCAGCAAAAGTAATGATCTCAGTTCACTTCACCCGATCTAAAATCGTAGCTGCTATGCCACTGGAAAATGGTCAGTCGGTAACTGCCAAATGGTATACCGAACAGTTCTCACCAAAAGTTTTCAAACATTTTTGGAAAACGGGAGGAAAGAGGCGGCGCTTTCTTTTACATCCCACACTGCTGAAATAACGAATCATTTTATTGTGATCCCTGGGATCGAAGAAATACGTCTACCACTATATTCTCCGGATATTGCCCCCCTGTGCTTGCTGGCTCTTTTTTTCAAAAATTAAAAAAAAAATTATAAGGAAAAGTCTTTAATAGCAACAAGGAGATAATTAATGCGGTTAATGCTGGACTCGATAAGCACAAAAAGCAAGACTGTTTCCAGAAGAGGCTTAAGAGACGCATTGTAATGAATGGTGATTACTTAGCTAAATACTAAAAATTTTCTTTTCTGATCAACTCCCCAACTTTTGTTCATCCCCTCGTATATGTGTAGGGATAATAGTTGTGCAATGCAGTTGCTTGGCCGCAAACTTCTTGGTAAATCGTTTCGCTCACCTCAATTTAAATGCTTTAAAAAATATTGTAAAATATATGAGCACACGTATACATATAAAAATTTGTATATAAATATCCCACTACTATTACAAAAATAAAAAAAAAAACAACTCACACCACAAACAACAACTCAACCGCAACATAAACGATTGCAATTGCAAAACGCAGTGGTGAAACCGAAAAGTTTTCGCCTCGTAAACTTTAAATTTCACAAAAAGTGCGCACGAAAGGCGAAAAATAATAATGAAAAGATGAAAGTGTTTAATACGCTTTCATCAATGTTACTTCATTTTACAAGTTTTTTTTTGTTTTTATAAAACTTTCTGTGTGAGGAGCTTAAAATTCTGAATTTAATTTCACAAAAAATTCCTTAATTTAAATATATATGTATGTATGAGATTTTTTGCTCCTTCTCATTATATTTATAGTTCCTACTGCACATCATGATAGGATTCCCTAAATTTTCTACTAACTTAAATAGGCATATATTGAGAAGTTACTCTCTCTCTCTCTCCCTTTCTCTCCCCATCTCTTTCTCTCTCCCTCTCCCTCTCTCTCTTCTCTCTCTCCCTTTATCTCTCCCTCTCTCTCCCCCTCTCTCTCTCTCTTTCTCTCTCCATCTCGTTATCTCTCCCTCTCTCCCCCCCTCTCTCTCTCTCTTTTCTCTCCCTCTCTCTCACTTTGCCTCTCTCTCTTCCTCTTTTTTTCTCTCCCTCTCTCTCACTCTCTCTCACTCTCTCTCCCCTTCTCTCCATCTCTTTCTCTTTCCCCCTTTCACTCTCTCTCTTTCCCTTTCTCTTTCTCTCTCTCTCTCTCCCAATACCTATCTCTGGAGAGAACTCTCTGTTAGGAACGAAAGTTACTCCATCTGGCGAAGAGATCGAACTTAGTCCTAGGGATTACTAAGATAGGTTAATTTATTGAAATTAGTGCTTTAATCGTTAGTTAATCAAATACCTATGTGAACATGATTATTACTTGCCATCTCTAATATAATATGTATATATAATTGGTACTTTGTAACCGCGTCTTGATGTTTTTTCAACAAATGAAAGGAACTACAATTTATACTAAGCCGCCTCTGAACTGCTGAAGGATTCTACGAGGAGTCTTTATTTGATGTCCGAAATAAACTCGGAAGGGTCGAAATTCCCTGCCGAGGGGCTATTAGAAAATTCAATATAATTTTTTATTTGATTTAATTTTTCACAACTTCACTTGACTGACCCAATGGGTTTCACATAGACGAAATGCATCCATAGTGTTGCCAGGTATTTCACATGCGAGCAAGCTGTACTGCTGTGCTGTACTTATTTTCTCGAGCTTAAGTAGTCCTACTAGCCTCTTGATCATTGTAGTTTGGAGATCTTCCGAAGGCCTGATATTTCACCGCAGTTAGACCTATCTTAAGCGCATGAGCCCCCAGAAGGCAATGCCTTTTACTAGTCCTATCAGCAGCCCCAAGTCCGAGCTCTTAATAGATAGTACAAACTTTGCGAGTTTCGTATTGTGTGCTTTACACACAGTCTTCGTGATTTTGCAGCCCTCAGCTCGTTCCCAGAGTCTATTCGTCTGGCGAAGTAGTACTACTTCTTGGCCCTTCTTCACTTCCTTGAATAGAACTGGAAGGTTTTATGCTGCGTCCTGTTATAAGTAGACACCACACTCTATATATAATTGATTGTCCCGTAACCGTAAATTTGCTTAGTCATACGGAAGCTTACGCGGTTTCAACAGATTATATTGAAAAATACTGTAATGCTCTGGTAGTCTCATACACACATTGATTGAGGACATTGGATTATACGTCTGTATTTCACCGCTCTCCCCAGTTTGATATTCTTATTTCAAAAGAGATTTTGAAAGCAAAAGTTTGACGCCGTGCAAGACGCTGTAGAGTACTATAGGTTCCTCTACCGCTGTATTTATGTAGTGAAATATGTGGGGTCTTTAGACCCATCCTTTGCCAACGACCGCTTTAAAGTTGTATCCTTTCCCACCCTTTTTGCCGTGTTCCGACTACGGTTGAGTTTGTCGTCTAACATCATCCCGAAGTATCCGATTTTTTATACCTCCTTGTAAGCTATGAGCTAATCGGACACATTTCTCGCAGACCTACTGTTATACGAGTATTCATTTCTAGATTTATAGATTTAGGAAATATTTTCTTAAAAAAACGGGATAGTTCCGTTTCGATGTAATGCTAAAGAAATATTCTTCTTTTTTGATGAACCTAGTAAGTCCATTCCGTCTTTGCGACTTTTTTACTGTGAGCAAGAAGTAAGGTGATTTTTTTTTAAAACTAGAAAATCTTTATTTATTCTTCTATATCAATTTCGTCGCCTTCAAAATAGTCCCCTGCCGATGCAATGCACTTATGCCAACGCTTTTTCCAATTATCGAAGCATGTCAACTAGTCACATTCTGGTATGGCCTTCCCAGAGCGCGCCGATTCAGGTTTAATCGCCTCAATCGACTCGAAACGGTGTCCTCGAAGTGGGCTCTTGAGTTTATGGAAGAGGCAGAAGTCACATGATGCTAAGTCCGGCAAATACAATGGTTGGGGAACCATATTCGTGAAATTTTTAGCAAAATGGTCACAAAGAATGAAAGCTGCGCGCATTATCGTGATGCGAAAACCACGAAGGCACTCGTTTTGTCGTTTAGTAAACACAAGAACTGAAGAATAAAATTTGGCGTAGTATTCAGGAATGAAGTCAAATACAGCCTTTGTATTTCCAACCGTCGAGAATCAAAGATATTATGGGTATAATAGAACTTTATGTATGTATTTATATACAAAAACTGAATTTATTTGGAAAATCTTACATTTAGTCCAATTTTGGCATACTCTTTCCAAAATTTCGGCCGATATCTCACGAATAAACGCTTCAAAGTTGTGCTCTAATGCGTCAATTTGAGTCTGCTTGTCTGTATAGACTTTAGATTTAACGTAGCCCCACAAAAAATAGTCTAAAGGTGTTAAACCGCACTATCTAGGCGGCCAATTGAACCGTCCCGAACCTGAAATAAAATGGACACGAAGCGTGCGACAGTTGCTTAAACCAGTGTTGTAAAAAAGGTAAAAGCTAAAAAAAATCACCCCTTATATTTAAAGCGAATGAATTCCAATGTAAACCCCCATTTTCGTACTTTTATTATATCGACTATTTTCATAGTTTGAATTTATTTTATTTAGTCAGGAAAATAGTCTTTTTCATTTGGTTCATTTGAATTTATTTGACTGTTTCTTAAACAAAAATTTTAGTTTTTATTATTTTCTAAGCACATGCTGAGGTAATGTGTATACATTTGTGATGTATATATACCCCACACGCTTTCCAGCATTCAATTAAATCATTTCTCCCATCGGCTTTAAAGTCAGCTCATGTATCTATAGAATTAAAAAGAGGAAAGAATATTGACTCCATTTTCCCCAACTGATTTTTGTCAAATATGACAAACCTGCACATGTGGTGGTGTCTTTAGACAGTAGACCAAAGCATCTGCAACATCTTCTGGTTGCAAAAAGGGTGCATCCGTCATCACCTCCCTCATTTCCGACGGTATAATTTCTGTATCAACGGCGCCGGGACTAATGCTCTGCAATTTAAGTCATTTTCGAAAATTAAATTAGGTTTTAGAAATATAAACCTCATTGTCTGCCAAACTCAACTAACCGTCACTTTGATATTTGTATTTTTATTGAGAAACTCCTGTCTGTACACTTCCGTCATTGCTGTGAGCGCAAATTTAGTCGACGGATAAAAATTCAATGAATGATTTGGTATTTTCTGCACATAATGTCCGGAAATGCTATTGATAAGAAAGACATGCCCAACACCACCGTTGGCTTTCATCGAACGAAATGCTTCCCTTGTACAGTTCACCACACCCAGTATGTTCGTATCGACCATATCCCTTATGTACTGCTCGTTATTATCATCCACCAAATTGGTTATACGCGCCACAGCTGCATTATTCACCAGCACAGCTACTGGACCAAATTTAGTTTCGATCTCTTTGAATGCAGCGATGATCTGTTGTTGATCGCGTATATCACATTTTATGGCATGCAGACGATCACGTGCCTCCGGTTGCACTTGTTCACGCAGCGCTTCCATGCGTTCCTTGCGTCGCGCCAGACCCACTGTGATCATGCCATTATTCGCGAGATATACGGCACAAGCAGCGCCAATACCCGAACTGGCACCGGTGATAACAGCGACCCGATTTTGCCAGCGATTCATTTTTAGCTGTTTTTTTATAATGAAATAAAATGTATATATATATATAGGTGTGTGTAGTATTAAATAATCCCTCGATTAGCGATCTGCTCTTATTTTTAGCAAGAACTGAAAAATTTACCAATTTCCTTTGCGCTTTTATATCAATTTGTATTTATTTATGTATATATCTTTTTTTATTCATAATCTGAAATTACCACAACAGCGGTAAGTGAACTCAATATTTACATATAGACATATGTGCATATATATGTTTATGATGTAAGATGTTTATGCGGGAACAAACATTGGTACTCACGCTACAGAATACGTTCAGTGGAGCAATAAAATATGAAAATATGCCAACATATGTATTGCATTAATATTTGAGAATATATTATACATATTTACATATCTTCAACACACCATGTAAGAATTTTATGATAATATTGCGCAAAAAAGTATTGGCTAAGCTCATAAAAAACTCTAAACAGAGTTTTATTGGAGAATCTAAATCTAAGTCTGTTCTTAAGAATATTAAATTCAACTAATACTTTTTTTCATTCTAATGAAGCCATTTCTTTCTGTACCTGACATTTCGGATATAAGGGAGGTCTTTCCCTTCCTTCCGTCATTCTCAGTGCTGTTTTCAATTCATCGTTCCATCGTTTACATTAAAAAAAAAAATTTCCAAAGAAAAAAAATTACGAAAAAAATATTTTTCAAATTTATTTAAATCTTAATTTTCATTAAAATTAATTTACCGCCCAATTAACTCAACTAACTTTTTTTTTATTTTCCATCAAACAAAAAAGTTATTTTTCAAAAAAAAAAATTTTTTTTCTTTTAATTTTTTTCCATATGTACGGTAACTTTTATAAAAATTGAAGTTCAAAAAGAAAATTAATTATTCAATAAATAGAGTTTGATTAAAACTAGTGTCTTCTTTTCTTTTGTATTTATTTATTGAACCTGCTTCTTTAACAGGAGCCTCCCAATAAGTTGTCAGATCTTAAAAACTAAATTAAAATATAATAGCCCATTAGCTAAGAATGGGGTGCTGGCTCAATGTCGCTCTTGACAAGGGTAGTAAGTCCCTACTCTTCAGGTACATTTGACTTGTTGCGGAGGCCAAGGAGATAGCCAAAGGGCTCGAATGATGGAGATGTTTTGCTTTGTAATTTTGTGAAACGATTACAATCTCTTCCCTGATTATGCGTATGCTTAGATTTCTGTGATACGAAGGATAAGCGGCTTGTAGAATTCAGATTTTAATCATCGAGAGTGTACTTTACTACTCAAATACCCACACAATCCTTTTGGGAAGAGTGAGTCTACATTGGATTTGAATAATTGTTGTTCTCTCAGCGCGCAATTGCTATTCGCACTTCATCATAGTGGAATAATGGAACGACATATCCATCTTTATCTATTTTGAATACGAGTTACTGCTGCTGAGTGTTCTCAGAGAGTGTTATTGTTACAGCTTTTCGGCGTCGTCGTCTATGGACGACTTTTACATCCATATGAACTGCCGGATATTTCAAGTTTGTCATGGCAAATCAATTCGGCTTTGATAAGACCCGTGTAAAGAGGATCGACACACCGCCTCTTCACTAGCTAGTTGCCTCTACGTCGCTATACCTCAATTTGGTAGCCCTGCAAAACTTATACAGCTATGGAAACTGACGTTAAGCAACACTAACAGCTCCGTCCAGATTAGGAGAATCTCACCAAGCCGTTCGATACCACGACGAGGTTTCAGACAATGTGATTCTATATCATGCGAGCTAGGGAGACAGAAAAGATGCAAACTTCTATAGGAAAGTACAGCTGACGTACTTCGATGATATTGACACTATTGTCTTCAACATCCGCGTCATAAGTTCTCCAGAATGGATAAAGAAGCGAAGGATATGGGTCTGGTAGTGAAGAAAGGCAAGACGAAATATCTCCGGGCATCAAATAAACAGTCTCGCATAGTCTCTTCATAGGAAACTTCGTTTATATTGGAGAAGTATTAACAACAACAACAATTTTAGCTTGGAAATCCAACGAAGAATCACTCTTGTCAACAGGTGCTATGTTGGACTGGGTAGGCAATTGAAAAGTTAAGTCCTCTCTCGACGAACGAAAACCGAACTCTACAACTCGCTCATCACACCCGTCTTTCTATATGCCGCAGAAGCGGAGACGATGTCAACATCTGATTAGTCGGCTCTAGGAGTCTTTAAGAGAAAAATTTTGCGAACGATTTATGGTCCTTTGCGCATTGGCAATGGCAAATATCGCAGACGATGGTACGATGAGATGTGCGAGTTATACGGCGACATTGATTTAGTTCAGAGAATCAAGAAACAGCAGCTACGCTGGCTAGGTCATGTAGTCCGTATGAATACGAATATACCAGCTTTGAAACCTTTTCGATGCAGTCCCCTCAGGTCGAAGCACGAAGAGGAAGTCCTCCACTCCGTTGGAAATATCAGGTAGAGAATGACTTGGGTGTACTGGTATTTTCAATTGAAGCCAAATGACGAAATGTCGGCAGAAACCGAATCTATCGCCGTTCAATATTACCTCTTTGTAGCGAGCTTAGTTCCAAACCAAAAGTAGCGAATGCGAGTCAACACGTCGCTATCTTCGAAATAATCACATACACACCCACACACATGCAATGATATGAATCTAAGTTTACTTATCGTTACAATATAATTTATTATACAAACAAATTTTTGTACAAATAATTGCACTTTTTAATGACTAACCGTGAATATGTGTGTATTTTTGTGAAATAACTTTAACTAATTGTTGACAGTTCAATAAAACTCTTTGGGTGCGGTAAAATATAAACAATTTTGTTTTTTTTTTATTGGCAAGCAAAATGAATTTTGCAGCTAAACTTCATACGCATATACTACATACAAAAACATATATATATATATTTAAATATATACATTTTAGTAATTACTGTTAAATTAAAATTACACAAAACAAAAGTTGCTATGAAAATTAACTACGAAGTAGTGGGAGGACTGTACATACATACATTTATGTGGGTAGAAATACATACTCCTGCACATACACTATATACAATACTAAGTAAATGTGTATATAAGTGTAGATTTACTGCATATAAGCATTTGAAATAAATTAGTAATGTTGTTGTAGATATTGCTGTTCCTCCTCGCCATGATATTGACCATCTTCCTGTGGATTATTCAAACGCTGTGCTTCCAATTCGGCACGCATGCGCGCATGTTCGGCGGCAATGCGTTCGTATTCGCTCAGATGTTTGTGTGTGGCGTAAGCGACAGCTTCTGTATTGCGTGGACCAGCGGCGTAGGCGCTCTATTTTTTTTTTGATTTTTTTTAAGGAAGAAAAAATAATTAAGTTAAAATCATTAAAAGAAAAATTGAGAAAAAATTATATTTTTAACTTAAAGGGAGATCAGGGTCGTTCGAAAAATGAGGAAAAAAGTGATTGTAAATATACAAAGAAAAATTGAAAAAGTAGTCGCTATTTCGGAGTTTGACATATCTCCAGATTATACTACTTGACAGGCAAGGAACGAAACTACGCTTAGCATGGCAAATTAAATCAAATTTATTAAAACTTTTCTTTCCGTTTTTCTTACATTTGCATTAAACTGTCTAATTTATAGTATTAAAAAGTTTATAATAAATGTATTTTTTGATGGAATCGCATTTTTTGGCTAAAAAAATATTAATTATTAATAAAAAAATTTTTTGTTTGATAAAAAATAAGTTAAGCTAGAAGTGGCTCATACTCCGACTTATTTCAATTATTTAAAATACGACTTTTTCAAAATTTTTTTTTTTTGAGATTATTTAAATTTCGATTTTCATTAAAAATAATTGCCGTCTAAATAACTTAACTTAATTTTTTTTTAATTTTTATTTTTGGTCATTTTGATTTATTTTAACCATGTCCAATATATACATCTTTTCAAAATATATTTTTTTAAACTATTTATATTATAAATTTCATCAATTTTTTTTTGATATATTTATTCATTTTAATTTATTTCAGACGTGTCCAACAGAAAGATTTTAGGATATTAAAAAAAACTTCTTTTCAAATAAAAATTCTTTCAAAAAAACTAAGTTTTAAATTTATTTCAATTTTAATTTTTTATTAAAAAAAATTTAACACCTAAATAACTCGTCATAAATTTTTTTAATTTTTGTTTTTTTTTTTTGGTCATTCCAATTTATTTCAACCATGTCCATTATATACGTATTTTTAAAAAAATATTTTCTTTTATTATTTAAATTTAAATTTTCATTGAAAATTAATTTTTTCTTTTAAGTTTTCATTTACTAATTTTAATTTATTTCAAACATGTCTGATAGATATGATTTTTCAACATAAAAAATCTTGTTTCAAAAAATAAAAAATATTTCAAAAAAATATATATAAATGAATTTATTAAATTTTAGTTCTCATTCAAAATAATTTACCGCACAATTAAATAACTACTTTTTTTTAATTAAAAAATTATTATGTATTAAAAATTTATTTAGTTTAATTTTTAATATGTACTGCAACTTTTATAAAAATTTAAGTTAAACAAATTTATAATTTTTTAAATAAATAAAATTTAGTTAAATAAAATAAATAAGTTATAATGGGATTTTTGAAAATTTAAAAATTTTTGGTATAAAATCGTTTTCTGAAAAATCCATAAGAATTTCAATTATATTAAAAATTATTTAAGCTTCAAGTACACTTGACTAGGCAAAGTTTTCTTAAATTCTATCAATAACAATAATTTTCAAATAAAATCAATTTCAATTGCTTTGTTTGGCAATTTTTTCTTAAAAATTTTAGAAAGAATTTAATTTTAATAATTAATAATTTTTTATACAAAATTGGGATCCTTTAAATTAAAATTATATTAAATAATTGATAACATTAAAAAAATATATATTTTATTATACTATAATCAATTTATTTTATTTTTTTCATAAGCAATAATTTTCAGAAAAAAATATTTTTCTCTTCAAAAATTGCAACTTTTTAAAGCTATTAACTTTTTATAATAAAGAAAAAATATTTTAATTTACCTGAGCATAATTCTAGTGTTGATAAAAATAACAAATAGTAAAAATATTAATATAACATATAGAATTTAATAGTTTTCATTAAAAAATAATAAATTTTTTATAAAATAATTTTAATTTTTTTAATAATAATAATAATTCTTTTATAAAAAACAAAAATGTTCGCAAAAAGTAATATTTTTTGTTGTAAAAAACATTTTTGTTATAAATAATATTAATTTTTGTTTTGAAAGCGTAATAATTTTTGTTAAGAATAATATTTTTTTTTATTGTTATAAAAACGCATGTTAAAAAAGTAAAATTTTTCAATTAAAGAAACTGTTTTTCAAAAATCTAGTTTCCTTGAAAATTATTTCAAAACTTTATAAAAATAAAAATATTCTGAAAAAGTAATAATTTTTGTTGTAAAAAACTTTTTTGTCATAAAAAATATTAATTTTTGTTTAGAAAACGTAACAGTTATTGTTAAGAAAAGTAATTTTTTTAGTTATAAAAATGCATATCAAACAAGCATTTCAATTGAAAAAACTATATTTAAGAAATCCAGTTTTCTTGAAAATTATTTCAAAACTTTGATTTTTATAAAAAAATATTTCGGTAATATTTTTTTCTGTTCATTCATTTTTGATTTTAATTAAATTTTGTGTGCAACTTTAAATAAAAGTTTCAATTTTAAATTAATAATTTCAATTTTTTTATTAATTTTTAAATTTTTCATACAAACTTCAGATTGTTTAATAAAAAAATGCGAGCGGAAAGTATCTACTTTTTGTTTATTTGTTTTTCAGCACCTCCTCCTCAATTATTCACGGCTTTTTACCTTATAAATATTTTTTTTTTTTTTTGGAAAAAATTAACGCTCAAATAAATATACTATTAATAATAAAATTATTTTTAACTAAAAATTTTTCATAGAAAATCGCAATTTTTAACAAAAGTTTGTGAGCAACTTATGAACATGACCAGGCATTTTTTTTTTGTTTTTAAAAACGAGCACAATTTTATAAAAAAATTTCGTTTAAATATAAAATAATTGTTGGTTAATGAATATTCAATTCACACAAACAAATAGGCCTTTCGCTGACTAAACTTTAAACTTTGATTTTAATTTTTTTCTCAATAACAAATTCAAAGCTTAGATAAAAAAACATGTATTTTTTAAGTTTTCTTTTTGTAATAAAATTTATTTTTAATCATCATTATATCATTAATTAACCAAACGTGATGATTTTTTTTACTATTACCTTCAAAAATACCTACTTTGTATAAAAATAATATTTTTTAATATTTTCTTAGATTAAAAAATTTATTTTTTGTAATTTATTTGTATTAAAAAGTAATTTTCATGTTAAAAAAATATTGAGGCCCTTGGGAAAAAGAATATTTTTATTCAAATAAATATTTTTTTTTATAAAACTTTATAAATAAATTTTTTCAGTATCTGATTTGAACATTGGAGGAAAAAAATATTTTTATTGAAAGAATTTTTCAGTAATAAATTTCATTTCCATTATTTTTTCTCAGTAAGACATGATTCACGACTTTCAGTTTTAATCGAAAAATAAAGAAATTATATAATAGTAATTAAATTTTTAGAAAAAAATTAGCATACCATAATTAGCAAATAAACATATGTAATTAAATTTATTTCAGCACCGCATTAACACATGTCGTCGACAATTTCACGATTCCTTGTCAAAACACTCACGTTTTATTATAAATTATCTACCGCACAGTTACTCACCTGTAGCCCACCAGGCGCACCACCAGCGGCATGTTCTTGCGCAATACGATTATACAAAGCCAAATGTTTGCGCTTAGCCGCCTTCACGGCCTCCGTATCCTCCTGTTCGTGACTCAATTGCGGATGAAAGCCATGCTCATCGGCAACATATTGCACGGTACGCAATTGATTCTTGGGATCCACATAGGAGAAGGCGCCACGCACAACACCCGAACCGTCGGAGACTTCAGTGTGTTGACGATCGACGTGGCCAGGCGCACGTCCGGCTTGATAGCTGAAGACATAGGGGTTTGGTGGCCCCGGCTGTGGTGTGGTTTCGTGGCCACTTTGGTGCAGAATATGCGAGACGTCGGCGCGTGCGCAAACGATTGTGAGAGCGATTACCTTTTATTTATTTTTTTTTTTTTGCCAATTGCAAATGGAAATGAAATGACACAAACATAAAATGCAAATTAGTTGGCGTATGCGAAGAATTACAGTTATTCATTTTCTTAATTATATTTTGTTGTTATTCAAATAATATATGTATTAGTGGCCTCACCAATTTAGTAAACAATTTCATTTTGACGAATACCGATTTTTTCGGGAAACACAAATTTTACACGTTCACAATGAATTTATGAAATCTTTCGTTATTTATTTATGCAATTTTGCAATAATCTCTCTACTTTGCCTAATCACTCGGTTGGCAGTTGTGTACGACAGCAAATGTTTCGCGTTACTAAAAACTCGCCTTAATAAACACTCGTTTAAGCTCGAATAACAGCAGCCGAAACACCACAGCAAAACATGAAGTCCAAATAAAAATTATTTTTTTTATGTTTCTATTAAAAAAAAATACAAAAACCGGTATTTTGTGTTCAACGCAACTACTTAGCGTTTGATTACGGGCATTTTGATATTTCTTTAAATATACATACATACATACATGTCTAACATTTAAACAAAGCAACTTTTTGGTGAAGCTTTACAACCGTAAATTTTGATTCATGGAAGTAAGCTTTGCTCAAAGCCCAGCGTAAGCACCTTCGAGGCAAGTATGATGAGCTGATCTAAATGTCGATGTGAAGATGCTCTGGAAACTTGTTTATTTTTCATAATTAATTTTTTTTTTTTTTTGTTTAATTTCTCACCTTATGGATTATGAATTTAAAAAATGCGATAATAAATGTCGCATTTTATGTTTTGTTCTTTACAATACTTGTTATTCGTCTAAATAAAATAAATTCCTCTGTTTATTGTATATTTTATTTATTGCATGTAAATTTTGTTTACACAATCAGTCTGTGTTTGAAAGAAATGAGTCATCGGTGTTGATTTTTGGAATGCCCAAGCAGGAGCGAAACGGACCCTTTCGACAGATTTGGACCAGAGTCTGTCACTAAATCTGTGATCCCACCAGCTTGGCTTGTCTAAGTCGTCGATGTCATTTAACAGCAGATCCAGGAACAATCTGTTTCGACAGACTCGGACCAGAGTCTGTCACAAAGTATGTGATCCCTCCAGCCTGGCTAGTCTAAGTCATCGCTGTCATTTAAATAAATAAATACTTTGTAAATACTATAATACATTCGTTCATACTTATGTGTGTGTATATTTTCTGTACATATGTATAATATATTCATTGTTGTTTTCCTTAATTCATTAATTCTTCATTTACAAAAAAAAAGAAACCAGTAATTGTGGCATGTAATTTTATGCCTATTTATACTATTATTATTTAATAATTCGTTAGTCTTAAATCAATTGATAAAAATATTAAAGAAGCCATAATACTCGGATAAGTGTAATCCAATACTGAGGTCATGATAATATAAAGTAGATAATATTTAATACTCACGTGTTCGTAATCATGTCTGTTGAAAGATTGTTAACCTTTTACACATAATGCGATAATTCAAATATACGCGTGTAAAATATACATCCTTATATATATATATCTATACATGTTATAATTGAAAACCGATTACAGTAAAATACTTATAAATTATTAATTTAATCGTATATTTACTTATATAATCGGTTTTCATTTATAACAACAAAATAACAATAATATAAAAAATATTACGAAAAAACTATGAATTGCTCATCAGGTTCAAAGTTGGGTGGAAGATTTTTTTACTTTATTCTATTTTATTTTATTGCTTTTTCGTTTATTTTATTTTAATTGATTTTCTTTAAATTTATTTTAATTGTTTTAATTTACTTTATTTCATTTTATTTAAATTTATTTTATTTTATTTCATTTCATTCTATATATTTCTAACTCTTTTTTTGTATGTTATTTTATTTTGTTTCTTTTATTTCATTTTATTTCATTTTTGTTAATTTTATATTATTTATTTTATTTTATTTTATTTTTGTTTATTTTACTTTATTAATGTTATTTTTCTTCTCATATTCTATTTTTTTTATTTAACTATATTTAATTTTATTTGATTTCATTTTATCTATTTAGTTTAGTTTTTTTTTAATATAATTTTATTTTTTTTATTTTATGTTGTGCTATTTTTTTATTTTATTTTCACTTCTTTATATTTTATTAAGCTTTGTATATGTGTTATTCTTTTTATTTACTTTTATTTTATTTTATTTTACTTCATTTAGATTTAATCTAACTCAAAGTGTCATTTTATTTCATTTTGTTTTTGTTATTTTATTTACTTTAAATTTATTTTATTTTTTAAATTTTTTTATTTTAGTTTAATTTATTTCCTTTACTTAATTGAATTTAATGTATCTTAAATTTGTTTCATTTTGGCTATTTATTTTAATTTTATTTCTTTCAATTCACTCTATTTCATTTTATTTTATTTCATTTTGTTTAAAATTAATTTATTTTTTATTTTTTTTATATATTTTTTTAATGTTATGTTATATTATTTAATTATATTTTCTTTTAGTTTATTTAAATTTGTTTGTTGTATTTAATTTAATTTTTTTTATTTAATTCTATTTTATTTATTTTATTTTATGATATGTTATTCTATTATGTGTTATGTTATTTTATTTCATTTTCACTTCAGCTTGTTTTACTAAATTTTATCAAAGTTAACTTTATTATTTTTATTAGATTTTATTTTATTTTATTTTATTTTATTTTATTTTATTTTATTTTATTTTATTTTATTTTATTTTATTTTATTTTATTTTATTTTCTTTTATTTTATATGATTTTATTTTATTTTATTTTAATTTGTTTCATTTTATTTTAGTTTATTTTATTTTATTTTATATTATTTTATATTATTACATTATATTTTATTTCATTTAATTTATATTTTTTTATTTTATAACTATTTATTGCTCATCAGCCTCATAGTTTGATAAAAACGTTACTAAATTGTCATAAAAATCAGGTTTTGAGAACACTTGTTAGGCTCCAGTCAATAAATTAATTTAGATGGTACAGCTAATAAATATTTATTAATATTTAAATAAAGAATAAATAATTTAAATATTAAAAAATGGCAACTAATTTATTTAACTAAAATCTTTATAGGAAATATAAGTTATTCCATAATATAAATGCCAATAATTAATTAAATCATTAAGCGAATGAGCTAAGCCGCATTAAGGTTATCACTTTTCGTATACGAAACTGAGAGCAATTATTATTTATTCGCATTAATATATCGTCTTATTTTTCATAAATTTTCTTATTATTCATAGGTAAATAAGCATTTATGTATGTACATATATACATACATAAGTATTTATTTAATAAGCTCGTATGAAAAAGTTTGTTTGCATACAAACTTATGTTAAATGACTGAAAGCGCTTACATACATTCAAAAATATCAACAAAGAAACGTAAATAGAAAATATTCGCTGGAAAGAATGGGATTTTTTTAGACTTTTTCCCCCATTTACTCAAAAAGATACTGAGCAAGGTCAGCGCAATTGCGGATGAGCAACGCTTAGGCAGAGCTTTACGGCATTTCAAATCGATCAGTTATATTTACAAAGCCGAATATTGTGGTTTGAATGCATTGAGAATTACTAATCTCAATTAAAGTGTTTGGGGTTTAATTTATAGTATTATCTGAAGCTGTCAAATAAAAAATAAAAATAAAAAAATGCTGAATCTAAAAATTTGTTTGGCTGTGGTTTGCTTTTGCTTCGCTTTGCATAGTGTTAATGGTGAGAAAAGAACAGATAATTATGTTAAATCTAAATCAAAAGAGTTGGTTCTTTTATTTTTATAAATACGAGGGCTGGTTTTTTCGAATTGTGCAAAATTCAAATAATAAAACTATTGAATATAATACAATAGTTATACTAAAAACTTATGTACTATATGAGAAATTTTATTTCACATGTATACTATACTATACATATGAAAAACGATGCCCCGTCATTTGTCGGCTAAAGATCACATACCAATTTATTAAAGTACTAATCCAATTTAAAAGTACTAAAATAATTTATTATATTTTACTTTAAAACACTTTATTAATTCATTTTTTTACTTACATTAATTTCATACTATTTTATATGAATTTTTTGATTTTATTTTATATTATTATTTTATTTTAGTTTATTTTATTTTATTTTATTTTATTTTATTTTATTTTATTTTATTTTATTTTATTTTATTTTATTTTATTTTATTTAAATTAATTTAATTTAATTTTATTTAATTTTATTTTAATTTATATTATTTATATTGTTTAATTTATTTTATTTTATTTCATATTATTTTATTTATTTTTTTTTATTTTATGTAATGTTGTTTTATTTTACTATATTTTCTTTAAATTTGATTTATTTGATTTCTTTTTATTTTTGTTTGCTCTATATAATTTAAGTTCATTTTATTTTATATTATTGTATTTATTATTATTTAATTTATTTTTTTCATTTATTTTAATATTGTGTATTTTTTTTCTATTTTTCCACTTCATTTTATTTAATTTCACTGTATTTTATATTATATTTCATTGCATTTATTTACGTCATTTTATTTAATTTAGGTTTTTCATTTACATATATTACTTTGCTGTTATTTATATTATTTTTTTTTTATATATATTTTTACATATTTAATATATGATTTATTATTTTGGAATTTTTTTATTTTAAATTATTTTATTTGGTTTTAAAATTTTTTTTTTAATTTTTTTGTTTTAATGTATTAGGGTTTTAAGTATTTTTAAACAAGAACTATTTTCATTTTTCACAGCGAACTGCGACGTTTATGGCTCGATTTTGAAAAAGGGTGAAATCAAGTCTGTACCCGGTAAATGCAGTCAAATCGTTTGCAAAGGCGCCAACTATGATGACTATGAAGTTAAAGCGTAAGAGCGCCTCAAGTCCTTGATTGTATTTAGCATTATTTTTGATATAAATATTTTAAAACTTCCAGTTGCCCCAATGCTTATGCGCCAAAAAACTGTAATTTCGTGCCGCCAGATCTAAGTAAGCCCTATCCCCAATGTTGTCCCCATTGGAAATGTTAAAAAAAAAATCAGAAATTCAATAATAAAGCATTGATTAACAATATTAAAGAATCTATGTAAGCTACGAATACAGCAAGTCTTTTATTCTTTTAAATTCAACACTTAAATTTTTTTTACACCGCATCACACATTTCAAATACGACTCGCCGCAAAATCTATCCAATCCACGTATTCGGCCACTCGTGTATAAATTCCAGGATAATTTGGTCTCCCACAGCCGACACCAAACGACACGATTCCAACCAATACCAACCGTCCACGCAAGTAGCCCGCCAAAGGACCGCCGGAATCACCCTGACAGCTATCCTGTCCACCACCTGGCACACCAGCGCACAACATACCTCCTGTGACAGACACTATACCAGCTAGTGCCGCCTTACAGGCATTCTGCTGAACTGCTCGTACTGCGGCAAAGCGCAAACGTGGTGCTTTCATACGTGATCCCTCCACAGTTGCACCCCAACCGCTGACATAGTAGACGGTTTGTATTGCTGTCGTCATATCCGCTCTAGTCGCCAATGGTATTGGTTGAATATAGATATTAAAGGGTAAGGAGTATGCCAATGCCAAGACTGCGATGTCATTATCTATGCCATTAGGTGGCTTGAATTGCGCGTGTACGATGATGCGCCGGACCGGCAAATAAACGCCACCGCTTGCATGCTCTGTTGAACCAGCACGCACAGCATACAATTCTGGCATATCCCACAACTCGAAGCAATGTGCTGCGCTCACTATAATTGTTTGGCTGTAAACTGCGCCACCGCAACGATGCGCACCTTCCTGTTGTATGGAAACTTGATATGGAAATTGATAGATGTATGCCTCTGTGCCACCCACTATGCGTCCATCAGGTTTATTTCGCTGCGCAGTGGTATTCGTTGTGTCGTTAATGGTGGGAAATGAACTTGTACTCACCAAACTGTTAAGTAAGTGAAGTATTATGAACTTACACGCGTAGTTTACCATTTTAGATATCATTTTAGAATAACACTTCCGCTCTATACGCATGAAACTTATATACGTTTGGCGGTTTCCGAGCCATCTATTGTTTTTCCTGTATCTTATCAGCGTAATTAGCTAAATTGTGTGTGCTATCGTTTGTCCATTCATCGTGAATACGCTCGCAAGTCCAAGTCATTAAACTTAATTTGAGTTGTAGTGAAGCCCTTAGAACAGAATTATCCAAGGTTGCCTTAGTAAGATTTTATCTAAATAAAGATTACTAAATAACGAGATTTATTTACTCTACTGGTGTTCACCGGTGAAAATAATATGTTTTCTGAAGAGTCACCACCATAACATCTGTTGTTCTAATGCCCTACTTACACACCTTGACTTCTTATCAGTCAATGACTAGGTGTTACTTATAATAGAATAAACAATACCTAAAGTTGTTAAAATCTACATGCAGCCAAATGAAAACTCGCAAATGTTTAATGATATAAAGGTAAGCCCTTTTTTATTTACAAAAGCATGTGCAAGCAATATCTAAGTGGTCCTAAACAACAGTATATTTAAACATTCAAAAATTAAAGTAACTATTAAATAAAATTAATGATTAAGTATTAAATATAATATTAAATTATATAATACTAAGCTTATAATGGTATTTTCTAAAATACATGAATGAATTAAAACTGGAATAACTAATTACCGACTTAGTATAAAATAATATGTGATATACACTAATTTCATTGTAGTTACATACAAACTAATAATATCCTTTAGAGTATCGACTCAAAATAATCTTATTATGCTTAAAATTTTATCATTAAAAAATAAACAATTATTTAAAATTTAGGCATAATTCAACTCATATTTAAGTGAAACAATTTGGCGTAGAAAACTTCACACACACACATGTCTAATTTCTACAGCCACTCTCTTCTAATCATCTTTCCATAGCCGTCACTTGATCCTTCAGATAATCCATATGATTAACGCTATCGAGCATGATTTCGTGTTGATAATCGACGTGTTGCAATATTAATTGCATTTTATGCAAATTCTGACTGCTATAATCCGATACAATGTCCACTTGTGTAAAATTTTTAATACTTTGGCCAAGTATCTAAAGTAAAAATAATTATCTGTATTAAAAATCCGTTGCATTTAATCAATTTGCAGACCTCATTGGATTTGGAGCCGCGCACTATTTGCCGTGCCACAGAACCCAAGTTATTCACATTCACCCCAACACGGTCACAAAGACGTTTTTTGCTATCACTAAAAAGATGACGAGCTGAGCTGCTAGATGCTGATGCCATCTGTAATTAAAGATAATAGTTTAATTATAAGTGTTTACAATTTTTATTTGGGAATAATAATTTTCTCTTTCTAAATAAATAATTTCTTTGTCAGCAGCTAAAAGTGATATTCGCATAATTACAGTGATAAAACAAATATTGTTGTAAAATATTCTAAGCAGACCGGAATGCGTTCTATTTGTGTTAAGCGCTTGGCGTTTATATTTGTTAGGAAAGTTTGTGTATTTTTTAATTTTCAGCTAAATATTTAGAGCTTTGTTTATATTTTTGCAAATTTTTAGTCGATTGTCAAATGACCAGCTGTTTGTGAACTAGTGCGGTTAGCGCCATCTGTATGTCAGTAAATAAAGTCAATGTCTTTCGGGATTGAAACTCAAACTTGGTAGAGAATAAAGCTATATAAAGATGGTTCACACACTTTTTGCATTGCGGTGAGTACAATCAAGGAATGAAAATGCTTTGTTGCTCTAGAGGATAGATTACAGAACCTTAAATACCGCTGTGTCTTAATCCCATTATGTTGGTTTACAAGTTGACGTCACGCCGTCGAGATGTGTGTTAGATAGGAGATTAAACAGGATTGAAAATCAAGCTACGGAGAGATACATTGGGCCGAAAAGGACAGTCCATGGATTGTCATGGTGGGCGATAGGGTCGTTGACGGCGCCATAACGACTAGAGGCATTATTGGTCACTGACAACAAAGGAACATGAGACGTGTGGTTAACTCCCTAGGGATCTTAAAATCATTAAATGCAACAAACTAATTGCAAAACTTTATAATCGACTATGTAAAACGTAGTAGAAATATTCGGTAGGAACTCTACAGCAGATAGGGGAGTTAGTTGCGTCGGTTTTAGGGGGCACGTAATGAGATACGTTGAGTATATTGGGGTCCAGTCTAGATAAGTAGGAGTTTAATCTGCCTGGTGGTTTAACTCCTAGTACGCTATTCACAAGAAGGAAGCCTTTGAAGGTGTTAACTGGCGTTCAGTGGCTATCTTTACGCCAGTGGCTAGGTTTTCTCTCGCGGTCCTAAGAGCGCTGTTTTGGCAAACGACCGACTTTTTAGGTTGCCATCAAGGTTTCTTGTCTTTTCCACAGGTGCTGCCAGATAGCGCTTTGAGTATTTTATTGCGGCTCTGAAGTTTTGCGGCAATTGCGGTAGTATGTGTAGTGAAGGAGTACAGGCTCTCAAATATGACTCCCAGTAATTTGGGTTGTTTGTTGTCGGAACTTTAATGGCATCGACATTCTCATCAAATTCGTGAAAATATGGAAAACCGAGGATTTGGTCGGTTGTAGTTTTAGTTGTCGTGCAGTGAAGAAGTGGGATAGGTTTTCGAAACAGCCGTTTATTTTATGACAAAGATAATCTATATCCTGACCGAGTCCATATTTTAGTTGATCCCAAATGACAACAATATCGAGCAATCATCGGCATATGAGTTCAAGGAAACCCCTCCTGGTGTGATTTTCGATGTATAGAAGTTGAACGGTAATGGAGTGAGCACACCACTCTGAGGAGCCCCTTGTTTAATCTTCCTGAGCTCTAAAATTTGGTCTCGAAATTCTACCGATGAATGACGACCACCCAGGTAGCCCATGATACACCTCTTCAATGGCCGATAATAGCACTGAATGGTTGCCGTTGTCATAGGCTTTTTACAAATCCAGTGCTACCAGGACAGTTCGGGCACAGGGCCGTGACGACTCTCGCGACAGCCGGTTCTACGCACTAGAGTTGATCAGGATTTTATACGGTCATGGGCTCTTACCCTTTCGGCGCTCTAATCCCGTTTTGATCAACAGGTAACATTGGTCTAAGGAAAGTAAACCCTCTTTCCCTTCAGTTGTAATATTCGTTTGATCTACAGTTTGGTTTGTCAAGCTTCATTCTTTAGCTGCTACTTTGCCCTATTCAATAAATTAAGAAACCAATTAATAGAAAACACAAAACAGTTCCGAAGGACAAAGCTTCATTTGGGATCCTTTGGTAATCGAATTGAGCTCTTTCTATTTTTTATATAATTTTTATTATATTTATTTATATAATTCATGCATCTTACATCTTGCTGGTTACATCAACTAAAATATGGACCACTATGTTGGAAACAATGTCGCACACTCGGCTTATAACCTTGACAGCGATTATTCCATGCTACCCAAGCACTGAAACCCTGTATACGTCGTATATACTTAGCACACGCGACCGCAAAACGTATATCCTCGCTCAGCAGCAGGCGACACGGTATACGGCAGGAGTTGGTGGATGGACGTCCATCTGACGGTTTGCACCAGTAACGATCGTTGATTTGAAATAGACCCCAATCAACGGAACCATCCACATTCGACGGATTTATAGCTTTCGTATTGAATGAGCTCTCGCCCTCAATCAGACACATCCAATCGTTCAATTCGTGAAAGGGCATGCCCATGCCATGCAGTTTTCGTGCCAACACACATTTATTGTAAATGTGTGCACGAGTGGTTGGCAATAGAAAGTTGGCGATGCATATTAATATGAATAACGGTATATAGAGTCGTTTATGAATTTGCATGTTTTCTAATGAAAAAAATTATTCGATTTTCTTCAATTTAAGTAAATGTTTTAACTGGATTTTGGTCATTTCTTGCCTTATCTTTATATACCAAAGCGGCGAGATCATCTGATCTTATTCTAAATGAAGAGTTCACACAAAAAAATATGATTTGTTTGATCGTTGGCCACGCGCCAGATTTGCCACTTGAATTTATTATAACACCCAGTAGGAAAATTTAATTGTAACTCGAGTTTTTTTTTACTGTAAGAAGGAATCGTAGCTCAAATCCGTGATTAACTTAGCCAGGACTCGATCTTTCGACTTGTATGAGGCATTGCCTATTAGGATTGTTGAAGCCATAAGCAACTAAATCGTTGAGAGACGAGCCACACATGTAGACTGATCAATTCAAGCAACCCTTTCCTACAGGGTTCATCCGAAAAACGAGAAGCAATTAATAAAATTAATTGATACTTCTATCAGGTCGTGATAGATTCAAATTGAAATCTACTTAAAGCTTGTTCGCACTCTTGAGATGGACTCAGCACCTGCACACTTTCAATTTCTGCTCATATTCATAAATTCGCGACTCATCTCTAAACGGCCAATGTACCGATCCCGCTGCTTATGACTCTTAAGTGTCTACAAGTGGAACTAGAACATGCAAGCCAATGCTCGTCGCGGCAAAGCTAATGCCATACTTTTTTTTATGTTAATGCTTGAGCACGTGAGCCTCTTGAAAGCTGGTTACAAGCGGTGGTTAACTGTCAAGCGGCATTCAAAAAAATAAATATTTTTTTTGTATATACAATAATCTGGACACAAATTTTTCCTCCCTGTTTAAGCTGCTTCCGAAAACTCTTCAACATATCGCTAATTTGCCCCCACGCCTTGACGGTGACTAAAAATTTCTTCTATGAGCATATGGAGCGAACTCTGGAGCGCTACCTCTGTCACTATGTGAAAACTGTGCGTGGCGACTAGATACTGGTTGGGAAGAATGTATCATTGGCACAACTGTCAGCAAATTCTCCCCCCACTGAAACATCCCCAAATATGTTGAGACTGATCGAATTCGCCGGAGCCAACTAGCTATTGGCTGTTTCCAGGCCGGAAAACTCAACCGGATCGACCAGGTCTTAATAGACATGATATTTTCCAGTGTTCTTGACGTGTGCACACTCCGAAGGCCCTGCATCGACTCAGACCACTATCTATTAGCAGCAAAAATACGTACCACTCTCTGTGCGGAAAAAAAACGTTCGTCAGTAAACACAAGGAAGGTTTAACGCCGAAATCACAACAGACAGTCGAACGATTTACTACTCGACTTGCCTACCTGCTGAGAATTCTGAGATGGTATTTCAAGCTACCCATAGCTGCAAATAATTATGGTTTTCGTAAAGTTAGAAAAACAGCTGCAACGTTGAGGACTCGCGTGTCGCAGTTGAAAGAAAACAGGCTGCCTAACTCGCAACTTTGCGGTCGACTACTACTCGTACGGGGTGGGATAGCTACCAAGAATTGATGAGGGAAGCAGGTCGTATGTGGAGCCAAAGAAATGTGGAGCGTGATACGGCGACTTACAGAAAGTTGTGGTAGGACATAAAAAGGATTTTTAGTGACTCGATGCCCAGAGTATACCCAATTTATGAAGGGAAGCCCTCTGAATGGCAAGGTAAATGAATCATGAAAAGTTGGCGAGCTCGAGCTTCTAATCGCATACAAAATCCTCTAGAACGTACTGTGTGAGAAACTAAATCCGCCGTTAATAACTTGACTAGACCTAACCAGTGACTGAGCTGTTCGATATGAAACCAGGGTTCATATGACTTACTTAACTTAAAGCTGGAGAGCTAACCAGAGAAGGTACAAGCTTCTATAAGAGCGTTTGTTCTATTTTCAGAGAGGATAAGACGTAATATAAATCGCCTCGTAAAATGGACTTTAATCGCGTAATTCAACGTAATTTCAATTTATTTAATTTAATTATACTTTATTTTATTATTATTTTTCTATTTTAATACATATATATATTTATACTTTTTCAAATTTTATTTAATGTTTCCTAATATTATTTTATTTAATTTCAACATTATATTGTTTTACTTCGTTTTATTTTGTTTTTTTTTTCAATATATTTTATTTTATTTTACTTTTAATTTTATTATTTTTATTTTTTATTCTTTTTAATTCTTTTTTATTTTTTATATTTTATAATTTTATTTTGTTTTTATTTTATTTTTTTATTTTATTTGTTTATCCTATCTTGTTGTAATTTATTTTATTTTGTTTTATTATTATTTATATTTATTATGTCTGTTTTATTAATTCATTTTATCATTTCATTTTATTCTATTTATTTATTTTATTATTTTTTATATATTTACAGTTATTTTGCTTTATTTTTAATATATTATTTACTTTATTTTACATAATTTAACTTAATTTTTTTATTTAGTTTTTTAATGTTTTATTACAAATTTTTTATTTCATTTTACTTTATTTTATATCTTTTATTTGTTATTTTATTTGTATTCAATTAAACTAAATTATTTATATTATTTTATTTTTGAGTTTTTCGTTTTATTTCATATTTATTTATTTATTTGTTTTCTTATATTATTTTAATTTATTTTATTAAGCCTTTTTATTTTTTTATTTCCTTTTATTTACTTTGCTTAATTTTATTTTATTTAAATTAATTAATTTTTTTTCATTTTATTTAATTTATTTTCAATAATTATACTTATTTCATTTTTATTTTATTTGTTTAATTTACTAATTTTCTTATTTTATTTTAATTTCTTTTATTAAGCTTTTTTATTTTTTTATTTACTTTTATTAATTTTAGTTTATTTAAATTATTTGTTTTTTTTTTTCATTTTATTTAATTTATTTTTTTATTTTAATTGTTTAATTTATTAATTTTCTTATTTTGTTTTAATTAACTTTATAAATTTTTATATTATTTTATTTATTTTTACCTTATTTCATTTTAAGTAATTTTATTATGTTTATTTAGTTCTTTATTTTATTTTTAATTTTTTTTATTTCTTTAAAAAGATTTTATTTAATTTACATGGATTTTCATTTAATTTAATTCATTTCTCTATTTTATCATTATTTTATTTGCTTAATCTATTTATTTTTTCGCTTTGTTTTAATTAATTTTAAATTTTATTTTTGCTTTATATTTTTTTTACTTGATTTAATTTAAATTAATTTATTTTAATTTATTTTTAATAATTTTATTATACATTTTTTTTATTTATTTATTGTTTCTTTTTTGTATTTATTTTAATTTGACTTTATTTCATTTATTTATTTCTTTTATATACTTATTTTTTCATTTAACTTATTTATTTTATTATATCTATTACCTTGTTTGTTTTTTATGTTTTTTTTTAATTTATTTTACTTGGCTTTTTTATTTCTTGTATTTCCTTTTATTTACAATACTTTACTTAATTTAGTTGTATTTTATTTATTTGTTAATTTAGTCATTTCTCTATTTTATTTGTATTTTTTTTTTTATTTATTTCTTTATTTTATTTTAATTAATTTTATAATTTTTTATTTTACTTAATTCAGTTAGTTTTTTTTTTGTTATTTATTATTAAATTTTTTTTATTTTATTTATTTAAATTTTACTTTATTTGTATTTAATTTAATTTAATATTATTTTATTTTTTGATCTTTTCATTTATTTTTTATCTTATTTTATTTAGTTATCTTCATATTAATTTGTATTCTTATTTTATTTTTATTTATTTTTCTAAGTTTTTTATTTTTTTTAATTCTTTCCTTATTTTTTTTTTTATTTACTTTACTTAATTTAAATATATTTTATTAATTTTTTTATATATTTTTTTTAAATTTATTTATTTTCTTGTTTTATTTAAATTAATTTTTTATTTTACTTCTTTTTCCATGTATTTTTTTTATTTCATTTTACTTTATTTAATTATATTCTTCTTTATTTTGTTTTATCTACTTTTTTATTTAGTTTATTATTTATTCTATTTTGTCGTGGTACCATAACAACTTTCGAATGTTCTTTTGGTCATGTTAGCAAAGGCGATCGCGAACAAAGTGATCATAAATATTTAATACTGAAGTTAAGACCAGACCTAAAGAGCTTAAAATCCATATCCGGTGTGAACCAATGACTTGTCCAGGTACTCCACTATCTTGTTGTTGTATCATTGATAAATTCATAATTCATTAAAATAAGTGCAATTTCTATTACATTTTTTTATTAATCATTACCGTCTTACAAACAATCATTTATATTTGGCAACGCCCTGCCACCAGCACATTGTCTATTCCACACCGTCCAAGCGCCAAAACCTTGAGCATTTCGTATTTGACCTGCACAACGTACCGATAAACTAATATCATCTGCGGTCAAAGCGCGGCATGGCGTACGGCAAACATTCGACGTTTGACGTCCGTCCTGTGGATCGCACCAGAAACGATCGTTTATTTGAAAGATACCCCAATCGCGTGACCCATCCGAATTGGGTGGACCAATTGCCGCGCTATTGAAGGTGCTCTCATATTGAGCGATGCAAACCCAAGCGGGTATATCCCCACGCGGTACACCCAAACGCGAAAGCTCACGAGCCAGCGAGCAACGATCGAATATCCTAGCGTCACTTGCGAAGAAGTTGTGTATTAAAAGAATGCCGAAAATATAGTATTTCATGTTTCACAAGTAATTAAACTTCAAATAAATATAAATGTAAATTTATTGCTGCATTATTTATACGAAAAATATAAAGATATTCACGAAAATATCAGAACAATAATTTATTTTAAGAAAGAAAATTAAATTTTAAGAAAATGCGTTACCACAAATAGCATTGTTTGTTTGGCAGAACAAAGAACGGTAAACAATATTTAAAATGAATACCGTTAAAGGTATGTATGGTAACCTCGTGTGCATTGTTTAGTAACAAATTTATTTTTAAGCCTACAGCCTTGCTTCGATTAATGTGAAAACTTTATAGTTATCGATTATCGATTATCTCTAACACTCATAAAACAATGCCAGGCTAGGTTTTCCTTGTCATTCAGTTTTCCTCTAAAGGTATGGACCGTTTTTAAGTGTCTGTATTTACAAAAGTCACAAATATTCTTCTTTAAGTTGGCGGCTCACAACTTGAGACCGTTACGTGCAGACTTGGAGCAAATTTGTCACAAAAACTCGGCTTTTCTGATCGATTTCGAGGTTTCGGCAGAGGCTGGTTCACCCTAGGATTATTTCTTTGAACCGAAAATAAGTATGGATAGTGAAACGTGATCCTTTTGTTCTGTCAAAATCGTTGGCAAATGTCTAAGTCGGACGCGTGGTTAGCATTGCGTACTGTCACTCGAAAAGCCAGAGTTCGAGTCTTAGTTCAACAACCAAAAATTATAGAAAATCAATTTAAATAAAGAATTAAATATTTTTTTCTAATAAATACATAGTCTGCTTATAGTAAAAATCATCAGTGGCTAACGCGCTAAGGCCAATAAGCCATTTGTGATGCTATTGTGAGGTTCCAGCCTTCACCTTCTCAAATTTTCGAACCATTTCGTGTGGTTTATAAAGGCAACGAGATGCTAACTAAGCCAGACAACTGTGTTCGTTTGACATTTCTGGAAGTGATCCACTTTTCATTAGCAGTCAAAATTCTCTTCAAAATGATACATATTACGGGCTGTTCGTAGGTGACGTTTTTGTTAACAAGTCATGTGGCACTCATACCTCCAGCTTCTTTGTGTATCCAGCTATTTTCAAGTAGATTTGAGCAGCCACTTGGTGACTTCCACGATTGCAGAGAGTTCTACCTGGAGGACGCTGCAAAGTTCCCATACTCTCATGCTCGTATTTATAGGGAGCTTCGGAGAATGGATTGCACAGCCTATTTTTAATTGAATTTTGATGTGACCCACTTATCGTGGGCGTTTTTGTTATCCTATGCCTTCCAGTTTGATATTCTGGTAAAATAGACCTCCTTCGTTACTTCTGCAGGAAATAATAAATATGTTAGCGTGCCCAAATTTTCTAATTGCTGTCGTCCCTGGGCAGGGAATGACCACCCCTCCGAATATATTTCGGACATGAAACAAAGCTCCTCATAAAAAAGCCAACAGCCATTCGGAGGTAGCTTAGTATAAGTTGTAGGTCCTTCCGATTGTTGGAAAAACATCAAGGCGCAAAATCCACAAATTGGAGGAGGAGCTCCGCGGAAAATCGCTTCATCGGTTACAAAGCGCCAATTATGTATTATACAACAGTGCTTTTAAGGAAGTCGATGGCAGTGCTCTTGTTACGAAGAAAGCTGCGGGATCATTTAACTCTATTTAATTTGGTTCTTAATATAATTCTTTCGAGTTCCGGACACCGGTCACCATACGGTGATAAGATCGAATAGGATTGGTCTAACTACCGCTGTATAAGTCCACTACACAATATTCGGTATCCGACCCCTACTTTCTCCTATCGCTGTTTTGCAAGCGTAGAGTTCAGTCATAGCCTTCCGGCTGTAGTTGAGTTTGTTATTTAAGATTGGCACGAAATATTTGACTTCGACCTAAAATAGAGCGTTTTGTACGTCCCGATAAATAAAACCATTTGATTTCCGCTGAGTTAAGTCCAGCCAGCTCTTCTTACACCAGTTCCCTGCAACGTCTAGGAAGTTTTGGAGCAGAACGCTTAAGGTTTGTGAGTAGCTGTAAGGGCAATGTCGTCAACGTATGCCACCACATCAGCACGGCTTGCGTTTAGTTTTCGAATCAGCAAATTTGCTGAGAGACACCAAAACAGTTAAAATAAAACATTGTCCTAAAGGTTGTTGTGTGTCTGCTGATTATTGCTGTTTCTTAGAAGAGACCTTTGAATATTCGCTACGGGCTTTCGGAGACGTGTTCTTGAAGAGCCTCTATTGCAAGTTCAGGAAGAATATTGATAAAGCCTCCTCTATTTGCAGAAAGTTACCAAGGTAAGCGAACAAAATCATGCAGTGCTGCATCGACTGACTTGCCCTTAGAGTATACATGTTGCACATCTGGAGTCCAATTACAACCACCATAAACGCATCAGTCATTGTCCGAAAGAAGATTGTCGTCAATCGGGAGAACGGAATGGGATTTGTACATATAAAATATGATTGCCGACGAAACGTAGTTCTCATCTGTTAACATTAGATTTAAACTTCCACTTGTATTTTGATAGCAATTATAGGTCACAATAGATGTGGAACTGTAAATTTCGTTCCAAAAATCAATCAATTGAAATGTCCAAAAGCTAAATATCCCCGTGTATTCTTATATTTCAGTTGAAGTGGTGGTGAAAATGATTTAAAATTGAACCCTAATAAAAGGGAACTTTTTACATCAACGAAAAGGTGTTCCACAGTTGAACAAAATTTCTTCGAAGCTTTCAGCTGAAGTCCGCCTTTTAAAGATATTTTTATTAGAATTTCTTATGAGCGTACGAGAAAACTTTTCTCTAAGGTTCAGGCTATGTACTGTTGTCATTTTCCTTTCCTATACGAGTATCTGCGCATTTTCAATCGGAAGCCCTACAGCGACAGTTCATCTCACAGTCGATTTGTCGTCGCTTCCCTTATTCGTTGACGGCTGTTATGATCTCAAATTATGTGACGAAGGCTACGTTCATGGATGTCGTGATCCGAAAACACAAACTTTTTGTGTGACGAGTTATACGTTCACACATGTACATATGTATGCTGCAAATCGACCCTGTCTTTATCTGAAGATTGTTCTTCATAATATTTCGTGTATGAAATTGAACAAAAGATGTTAAATAAATTTAAAAAAAAAATGACTGGATGGCATTGTTTAATAATAAATAAGATAAAAAGCTGTTAAAAGCGTTAACCCATATTTTAGTATAAATAGGTTATGTGTGTTCATTTGCATTGCGTACCAGAAAAAAGACTTATCTCAACAAGTAAGTTATTTCTTTTGTAATAAACTAACTCCAACTTCTCTTGAGCCCCATTCTTCACCAGCCGAATTATTCCCCATGGACAAGAACAGGCGGTAATCACTTGGTGCGAGATCTGGACTAAATTGTGGATGCATAAGAACCTCCTAACCAAACTGTCGAAGGTGCTGGCGAGTCATTATCGATTTGTGTGGACTGCCGCTGACCTAATGAAACACAATTCGCCTCATGTTGGCCAAAGCTGAGCGCTTCCGAGCGATTGCTTCGTTTAGACAGTCCAACAGCTGGCAGTACAGGTCCAAATTAAGATCAGTCTATAGTGATTGTTTTTTGTCAGCCCTACCAAATAGACAACAAAACCTTCTTGACCGTCAAACCTGGCTTGAATACCGTTCTTACTTGCTCACTGTCCTTCGATAACAACTGTGTTCGTTTGATATTTCTGTAAGTGATCCACTTTTCATTATCAGTCAAAATCCACTTCAAAGTGATTCGCATTGGATACGAGTGAATCGCAGATGGAGATTCTGCCTATGAGGTTTTTATTAAAGAGTCACGTGGCACCCATACCTACAGCTTCTTTCTGTATCTGGGCATTTTCAAGTGGTTCCGAACTACTTTTTATGTATGTATGTTTAGTTCCTGGACAATAGAAACAATACTCCTATGAAGGTCAGACCCGCTAATTTTCATCATTTAACGACGTCTGAAAGATTTTTGTGAGGTGCCTTTATTTCATGTCACAAATACACTCTGAGGACTCTGAAGGCCGTCATTATTCCTTAAAAGCAGTTAAACTGTCTTGAGTGTACCGTTAAAAAAGCGACTTAATTAATTTAAACATTTCATTACCAACTCATCTGACTAGTATAAATACGACTATCAACTGGGGCTTAAACTATTTCAGCTTAAATCACCAGTCACAAAGTAATTGCAATGAAATTTCTTCTCATCCCTCTTCTGTTGACGATCGCTGCACGAAATGTAGAACTACGTATCATGGACCGCTGTTCGCTGAGCCGTGAATTGGATGCCATGAGCATACCACGAGCAAACATACCCAATTGGGTTTGTATTGCACAATATGAGAGCAATTTCAATACAGCCGAGTTGGGACCACCAAATCCGGATGGTTCACGTGATTGGGGTATATTCCATATCAACGATCGCTACTGGTGTGATCCTGGTGATGGTCGACATTCAGCTAATGCTTGCCATGTATCCTGTAGTCAATTGTATACGGATGATATAAGCGAAGCTGTGAAGTGTGCACGAACCATAATACGCCAACAGGGATTCCCCGCTTGGAATACGTGGAATAACAATTGTGGTAGGGGTGCAAATGTACCCAGTGTCAGCGATTGCTTTCATTGAAAGGAAAATGAGCATAAATTGAAATTAATAAAGAAACTTCCGAATGGGCACATTGAGAAAATCGAAAATGTCTATTTTGCACAAGACTTAAGTAAATAAAGTTTCAGAAATGTGTAATCTAGAGCTTGGTAAAGTGTAGTTTTTATTTTTTTTTTTTCGCCGAGACAAGGCTTTACTTTCTTTGACAAGGGCTTACTTTCTTCCGACCGTATATTGAAGGGAAGAGCTCCAGTATCACAGAGATCGAATGGTCATTTTTACCAAACTTTCTCTCTTTGAAAGGAACCTGATATTTGATTATGATACAAATATAATTAATTTTTCTTGTCAATTTACTTTTTGTGTTGATGGGTATCAGTTAGTCCGCTTATATATAATATTTGTTGTTGTTGTTGTAACCTCAAAAATATTCTCCAAAGTAGTTTTTGTGGACCGTTGCGGGAGCGACAGTCTCTGGCCGGATAAAAATCCGAGTCGTTCCGGTACAAAGGACAGACTGTCACGGGATAGACATACTGGGGCGAGTAAATTCTTGGACCTCTAACGCGCAGGGGGTTTTTATATTTGTTCCTTTGCTTCACTGCATAGTTTCCTGTCGATGGAAAGGGGGCGAGAGACTGCACGTGAAAGCCTTGTCAATGCTTACGGCAGTGCCAAGAACGGTGAATTCATTGGAAGCTACGAGAGTATAACGTTCCTAGTCGTCGTGCATCTCTGTCCGCTTTATAGATGTTCGACTTGTCTTAAACCTCGAACGGTATTGAAAGATTTAGCGAAGCCCATTCATATGTTGACAGGGCAGGCGATCCCTTAACACGCTATCGAATGTGACTTTGTAGCCGACATAGAATATGGCGTAATGTGAAAATCTAGTCGATGGTGGACTAAAGCCCTGATAAGACCAACCGATGTACTGGCAAATGACTATAGCCCTTTCGCATAGTACGCTCGACAGGGCCTTGTATGAGACGGCAATGAGCCTGATTCCCATATATTTGGCGTATATCGTCAGCTCACTCATTTTCAGCAAAGGAAAAAATGCATTAAGAAGCTGATCCATGCTCCCGCTGTCATCTCGTCGCTACCAGCCTTGAGAAGAATTTTCGAACATGCTTCTCTCTTTTCTTTTTTTAGTGTAGTTCTCCCGCATGGTTTGTGTTACAGCAGGCAGCAGCGCTCTTTTGTAGGTGACACATTTCGTTGCAATTGCTTCGCGACACTCCTTATAACCTGTCGTGACGTGGCGAAGTCGATCATCTTCAACCCATTGTTCGAGGAGGTCTCGTGTAGACTGAATTGACCGACAATTCGCGTCCTACCATTGCGTTGAAGCCTACGAGGATAATTTTCACGACCATTTTCATTTGACGTTGCTGTAAGTAAATCACTTTTCATCACCAGATGATGAATCTGTTCCGAAAATTTAGCCATTTGGCACAATTCGCAGATTGAAATTCCGTCTATTCTCATGTAGAACGATACATAGTGTATCCAGCCTTTTCTAAGTGGTTTCAAACTGTTTTTGTACAATTTTTAACTTCTGGACAATCACTAAAACGCTGACTGATGATCAGACCCGACGGTTTCTATTATTTTAAAAAGCGCGCTGTATCAGCAAAGAAGAGTTGAAGCTGGCACTGGCACTAATCGGTAACTTTTAACTCAAGCACACTTTGTCTTATAAAACCACTTATCTTACGATAAAATCTATTTAATGGAACTAACAATAAACCTCTCTACATACTTATATAAATATATATATACATACTCGTATGTATATGTGAATCTGAAGAGCAACAAATTGGATGCAACAAAAACTATATTCCAAGTGTCACTCAATTCAAAACTATTGGCATGCGGTGATAAATTTAAAATGAGTTGAATTACATATACAAAAAATATATATATATAGGATCAGGTACAGAAATACCTAACAACTATAAAACCGGTTAGCGATGTAAAGAAAAAGAAGAAGAATTTTGCTAAAAATCTCTTTACTCCAATTAAAGAATGCGCTTAATCTCACAATAACAAATAAACAATCATATATATATATGTATATATATTATAACCTTATACAAAGATACTCCTCACCGGCGTACACAAGTACAGTTGTCACAAAAATACTAAAAATACTTAATAACTTTACACATAAAGTTCACTATTTACGTACATAAAACATATACCCATAATACCTACATATACATACGAGTATATGTATGTATTTAAATGAAGTTAAATCAAATATCAATCGTTATCAACGACACACATATGGCGCATTTACTAAGTAATTACATACAGTCTTTATCATAATCAGGCTTTAATTTGCTCATCCACCGCCACAGCATCGATCGTGACCTGTTCATTAGGCACTTGGTAGCCACTCTTCGGCAAATATTGGCGCTTACGTGAACGCGGACGCACCAACATGTGTAGCACACACGCCGTAAAAGCGAATATTGCAAAATAGAAGAAGCTGCGTCGACCGCCAAGGTGTTTAAAGACCAAACCGCCCACCAGCGAACCAATCGAGAAGCCGAGTCCATCGTCCATGCCGGCCATTAGACCCTGCACCGTTGCCGAAGTGCCAGGCGGTGCCACCGCCGAGGCGTAGGCGACAATACAAGTGTAGCATAGCGCATAGGTACTGCCTTGGAAAAACAATTCGACACCAACCAAATACCAGGGGTTTGGTATCCATGCGATGAGCGCGAGTCGCAGCGCATAGAAGAAGAAACACATTGTCATGCAGTGTACGTAGCCGAGTTTTTTGATGATTTTCCCACTGTAGAAGAAGAATGGCACTTCACCAGCTAAGCATTCGGCGGCAACAACACAGCCTTCAATTAACTTAATCTGCGACATAAAACCCGTCTCAGCAGCAACCTCTTCGAGATGCCAGAACATAAAGTAAATTATGAATGAATCGATTATACCGGCAATCGTTGCAAACACCAAGAATACCACAATCGCAGGATGACTAATCAACTTCCAGACATCCTTGAATATCGACTCGGACGATGAGAGTTTCGGTAGTTTGAGCTTTGACACACTCAGCAGATCGAAGCCACTAAAGATCAGCATAACTATTAGTGCTGGTGTGAAACTTTTTAGCGCCTCCTCAGTCCAAAGATTCACCGCAATGCCCGCAAGTAGAGCTGTCGCACCAAAACCAATAGTGCCCCAAACACGTTGTGCGCCATATTTACCCTCTTCCGACTCGCCCAGCATATCGAAGCAGATTGCATCCGAAATTGAGTTCACAACATTAAAACCAATTGTACCGAGACACATGAAGGCTACAAACAGCCAAAAAGTGGGGGTGGAGTAAATACAATCAGTTTGCAAGTCCGACGCGAAGTGGCATGAGGCATTGCCAGTGGCTGCTGCTGCAGCTGTCAGGTCGCTAGTGATGTTGGTTACGGTTGAAGTGAGGCACATATAGTAGTCATCGGGCGACAAAACATTACCGCTCAGGTTCAGTTGTTGTGCCGTTGCTGTTGTGGTTGCCAAAAAGTATGCAATAAAATCGGAATTCTCCGTGGCGTCCAAGGTGCAATGTGCTGCCCGTGACGCAGAGCAGAGTGTAGCCGATGTTAGTATCTAGAAAGAGAAAAGGTGAAGTTTTTAAAATTAAAAAAATTTCATGTAGAACCAAGAAGTCGCCTCAAAGACGAAAAAAGCTGCTTCTACGTGGACTGCGGACTGTCGAGTGTGACCCCCAGTAACTTGAGGTTATTTATTATCTCAATTCAGGCGTCGTGGACCTTCCCATTCAATTCGAACCGGTACTCTTTCGTGCAGCTGGGGAAATGGATAGCCGAGGATTGACATGCAGTGAAAAAGTAGTAAGACAACCGTGTTCTTTCGAGCAAAGATGAGAGCCGGGAGAGCTGGTGGTGGAAGCAACTTCGAAATGTAAAAATTAAACAATAGTAGGGAGAGGACCCTATTCTCCGGAACCATTTGCATTACTTTTCAAAATTTGAATATTGTCCTCGAAACTCTGCCGACTCCGGTGGTAACAAAGATACTTCAGAGTCCGAAAGTGTCATAGACTTTTAAGGACTATCTGGGTGCTTAAGGCATTAAGTGTAGCAGTGGCGATGTGCGCTTTGCGAAAAATGTGCTGATATACTGCTAGGCGCTGGTGGTGAATAAAAGGCGAGAGTTGCCACCTGAACACAAATGTTTTAGCAACAACATCTTTATTTCATAGAGGCCGATGGATTTAAAGATTACCTCCACAGCCTTGGCAGCGCAAAATTCCAAGTCGTTACGATATAAAGACCCAACTTTTGCTGGAACTTTTGGTCTTTAGTCGCCGCTTACGACAGTCATGCCTTAGCGAAGGAAAATTCTCGAATCCCTACCCCGCTGGGATCACCAAATAGGTGACGATCCAGATAATGATGGGAAAATGGTCTAATATGAGGGTCAGCATATATCGCCGTGTTATACTCTTTATCAGATCAGCGCTACTAATTGCTATGCCAGGTGAGCTATCATAATTGCGCGCAATTCTGGTGGCGCATCAGCGTTCGCGGTGCAGAATGTCGAACCGTCAATCTGTTCTGTCAGCTTCACTCATCTACGTCATCCAAATCCAATCGGGTTTCGTCTATGAGTAGCACAGCCAAATCAGTACGGTATTATACTGGACGAACGGTTTCACCTTCTAAAAGCAGATATAGCACAGTGTTTTGTAGGATGAAGTCCCGCTTGCTCAGCTGAACTTTTAGACAGAATATTGAGTAGGAATTTATAAGTTTTTCAGGTCAAAGATTAAAAAATTAAAAGGGCTTTCAGTATAATTAATATTATCTCTTCAAAGTAAGTCCAAATAAGTTCTGAGCACACAGCCACTAATCACCGGCATATCACTCAAGTACATTTCATCTTATCTGAACACTTATCCGAACAGCACAACGACCGCGATAGCCGAATGGTTAGCATTGTGTACTACCATTCTAAAGGCCAGGGTTCGATTGAGTTCTGGTTCGAGCAACATTTAAATTTATAGAAAATTAATTTTTCTTTTTGCGGTCGGCACTCGGCAGGGAATGTCAAGCCCTCTGAGTGTATTTCTGACATGAAATAAAGGCTCCTCAGCCGTTCGAAGGTGGTCTTAGTATAAACTGTAGGTCCTTTCGTTTGTGGACGAGGAGCTCGGCGGATAATCGCTTCAGCGGTTACAAAGCGTAAGCTATTCATATACATAAATGTATTGTGAACACATATACAATATATATAATCAATTAAAAATATTCTATGTGTATTTAGACATTCGATTACATACCTCTGAAGAGCAATTGGGTAAATTGGAAACGTCGAAAGTAACATTAAAAGCATCATTCACTTCCAGATCAATGGCATGCGGTGCGGCGGGCGGCAAAAAATAGAAGGCGGCATAAGAGAGTGTCATGAGCATGATTATTAGAGCGAAAATAAATTTTCGAAAATGCTAAAAGAAATAAGAAAAAACATTTCAATATAAATTAAATGGAAAAAGACAAACTATAAATATATACATACATATATACATATGTATGTATAAAGCTTAAGGAGAATTACCAAAAAATAATCAGCCACATAGCCCACAACGGGCTTCGCCAGCACATACATAATCGGCAGCACCGATGTTATATAGCCCATAATGTCTGGTGAGATGCCCAATTGTTTGCCATAAACCGAAAGCTGCGGCAGTATGGGACCCATAGCTGGAGCGGAAAAATAAATAGTTATTTCATTTATTTGTTGTAATAAATCAATTAATAAACTAATTAAATAGGAAACTAAGAGCTTACCAGCCATAAAAAAGAAGTAATGCGCCTTTATCGGCAAAAGTCTCTTATTAACTTTCACCATTTTTATTTAATATTTTATTTTTTAACTTATCAATGAACGTTCTTAACTCCCATCCAACTGTTAAAGCTCGCCACATGCAACACCAGCCACCCGCTTTGGCGTTTGAAAACTATCTGCATATCCAATTGTTGTCTGTCGCTAATTAGAACCTGTTTATTCGTTGTTAAACGTGTCTATCTGGAACTTTTATCGTCACGTCTCGAAAACAAAAATTGGCAACTTTTCCGTAATCTCATTCATTGAAACACTTTACTGATAAGCCTTTGGGCGCACCACCTCTCTATTGCCCGCGTCGACGACGTCTATAAATTCTCTCTCTCAGACATTCAGGCAATAATCATAATCATAAACAATTCACAAATATCGTCCGGCGTTTGCTTGCTCATTATTATGTATTTATCTTCGACGTTAAGAACGTGCGCTCAATGCCGACGTCGTCGTCGTTGTTGTCACCGTCGTCGTGTTTGTTGTGTCGCAGACGTGTTATTGCCCTCGGTTAGTTGTTAGTTTAAAGCCTAAACAAAAATGTATAAGTACATAAATAAGTAAATAAATATAAATATGTATATAAATTTGTATGTATATAAATTTGTCACAAACTACATTATCTTGTACACAATTAGTTGCTTAGCAGCACAAAAAAAAGATTTATAAGAGAAAAAAAACTATTTCGCTCTCGTCTGAAGATTTTTATCAGATTTTATTGTCTTAAGGAACAGTCTTATCATGCATACATACGAGGAGATTAACAAATGTTCGGTAAGATGACCAGAAATAAAATCTTTTTGTATTTATTCGCAATCTTTCCCCTTTTTATCTTCTCTACATAATCGCCATTGATTTCAATGCATTTCTTAAGCCTATAGAACCACTTCTGAAAACAGTGTTCAAAATCTCCTCGCTGCTACTAAAGACATTTCCTCTTACATTTCTTTTCATTTTTGGAAATAACCATAAATCATAGGGTGCTATATCCAGAGAATATAGTGCTGGACATATTTCTTAGATCCCAGAGATCGCATAAAAATTGCTCTTTATTGCAGCAGTTGTCATGATGTAAAAAGGAGCGCCGCAAATCGTCTTTCTGCTTGTTTTCCAACAAATTCTTTAAAACTTTTGGTAAGCAATCTTCAGTGTACCATTTCGCAGTTACCATCTGACCCTTTTCCAGTGGAATAGCAGCTACGATTTTAGATCGGTTGATGTAAGCAGACATCATTACTTTTGTTGCTTAGGTTTTACAGGAGAGTTTGCTTCTGTTGGGCTGCATATCGTGGACTGCTGTTTGGTGTCTGGATCGTAGTTATAGCACCAAGATTCGTCACCAGTACCGACTTTACTTAAGTTGCTAGACTGACCATTTTCGAAATTTTTTAGGAACAATTGAGAAAAACGCGCTCGAGCCTCTTTTTTTGGCCTCGAGCATATTTCTTCGTATATCCCCGATGATTACTTAATATTCGCGATACAGCAATGGCATTCATTTCAATCATTTCTTGTGTCAATCGTGTGTCTTCGTTAATTTTGGACTTCACCAGAGCTACAGTGACGTCATCAGTGGAAGATTTTGGTCGAGCTTTCACGGGGCTCCTCCTCGACGGAAAAATATCCGGTCTGGAACCTTCGGAACCACTCAGAAATAGTCCTTAAAGAGGGTGCAATCGTTCCATATGCAAATCAGTATTAACTGAGCATTTGTATTGGCTGTAAATTACGCTGAAACCCGAAGAGAATCACCTGACGAATATCTTTTGCGTGGTTGGTAGAATTTCGTCTAACCTATATACAGCTATATTGTCTTTTTTTGTCTCCATTTTAGCCGATCGTTCTAAAACTTCAGAGGAAGATTAATAAAGTAATTGCAAAGGCTTTTGTATTTCTAGATTTAACAAAAACAAATTGAAATTCACCAACTGACCGAACTTTTGTAAATCCCCTCGTAGTAGTAAAGAAAATAAGGCAAGTTCTTGTGGCATTATTTATTTAGTACTTATTTTTTAACGGTTTATTACATGAAATCTTATTGTATTTGCCTTTGGTAAACAACAAATACGCGTTCGAAAAAATTTTTTTTTGAAAGGAATGAAATAATTAATGAGCACAATTGGTTAGGATAACAAAATTTTATTGACAGCAGCGCGAGTGAATTTTCCGATGCTTTAAAAACAACCTTCGGTAATGGGCGAAGTGCAGTCCTCTAGCTACGACAACGAAGAGATTTTAAGTATTTCTTTGAGATCAACTGACAAAGCTCACGGAGCTTCTGGCGAGTCATTATCGATGAGTGTGGTCTGGCGTTGTCCTGATGAAACGTTGTTCCCCTCCTGTTGTCGCTTCTGGGCGATTGCTTTCTTCAGGCGGTCCTATTGCTCACAGCACAGGTCTGAGTTAAGAGTTTGGCCGTAGGTGAGAAGTATTTATTCAATATTTATTTTCTTCTGAAGCTGATAGTGCGACTGGTTATGAAAGCTGGATCATCTAAATCAACGTAAAATGAAAACGGTCGTTTTGGAAGGACACTGAATCGGCATAAACGGCCTTCAAGCCAGGATGGCAGCCAGGTAGGTGCGGTCAAACTCTTAAGACTTGTAGCGTGTAATGTTAGTAATTGGACCAGCAATTGGGGAACGGCAATAATTTAATATAATAGGCGCTTTGTAAACGCTGAAGCGTTTTTCGTATGAAATAGAGGGTCCTACAGTTTATACTAAGCCACCTCCCTGCCGAGGGACGACCACAATTAAAAAATATAGTTTAATATTTTATTTAAATTAAATTTCTATAACTGTTGGACCTTGGTCGTACCAGGACGGCAATTAGAATGATTAATTATCTCTGATTTTGGATGTGGATCGACCAAGGGCTCAAGCCATGGCCATCCCAATAGCAGCAGGCAATGCTAGCAACTGCTACTAGTACTGCATCGAAAACTTTCAAATTCAGAGTGTTCTCCTCCATTCGGCTCAAATGACCTAACCAGCGAAGTCGCTTTTCTCTTGAAAGCTCCCAACGCCGACTCCTCAGATGTTGTCATTGTCTATGCCTTCGTACCATAGAGTAGCAGTTTGCTCTTTGTTCGTCAGTGTTGGTGTTAGTACTGGCTACAAGAGATGTGAAATTTTTTACGACTTCAAAGTTATGCTTGTCAACAGTGACGAGGGAGCCGAATTTCGAACGTGAAGACTGTTTGTTTGATTACAGGAGCTATCTCCTGGCCCAATGGTCTCGCCTAATCCAGTCTGGAGGAAACAAAACTCACGTCGCAGCTGTTGACGCCAATGATATTAATATCATCACGGTACGCCAGCAGCCGTACACATAATAAGAAGACACTTTGTCTTGAGCCTCGTTTGACATACAAAGGTTCAGAGAGATTCTTCCCAATCCAAACGGAGCTTTCTGTGTATGTTGTTAGTTTACATAGGCATATAAGTTTTGCGGGGATGCCAAATTCAGCGGCGTAAAGGCAACTATTTGGGCCGTCGAAGGCTGCTTTAGAATCGACGAAAAGGTGTTGTCACGGGTATTTTCTTATATTTGGGGTATGGTGAATATATGGTAACTCGTTGATTTATCAGGTCTAAAACCACATTGATAAGGTCCAATCAGTTTGTTGACGTCGGGCTTCAGTCTTTCACACAAAATAATCGATAGGACCTTATATGCGATATTAAGAAGGCTTATAACGCGGTTTTAGCGCAGACTGTGGGGTCTCCTATATATGGATTGGGCAGAACATACTTTGATTCAAATGATCGGGCAGCCGACCATATTCTGCAAAGAAGCTGATTCATGCACCTCGTCACTAACTCGCCGCCATACTTGAACAACTCGGCCGCCAATCCATCAGTCTCCAACGCTTTGTTGTTTTTCAGGCATCAGGCAATGCAACATTTGTTATCGTTTGATGTATACGGCTCATTATCTCCTGGTGTTCCATTTCCGCTGCCTTGAATCAGGTGTTACCTCAAAAGATTTGGAGGAGTAAATGACTTTCTCATCTCTAGTAGGGCGCGATAAGCTGAAGGTGACACTCCTTCGTTAATGTAAGAACCATCTATAAAAATATGAAAAGATTTGTCTGTTTATTTCAGACCTCTGTTTCAGCCATTCGCCTCTATTGTAGCTGACAACAGCTTCCAGAAAGTCAGGCGGAGGGTAACGCTATACTACTGTGCTCGTAAGTCCTAATTTTCAGCTACCTAGGAATGCCCAGTTTTTATATACTGGAATTGCTGGATCAATGCTCAAAATCGCATGTAGCGCTCCAAATGCTGTTCTTTTAAGTGCTCCGGCGATGCTAATCATTGACAGTGTCAATACCCTTTCCTGTCTATGCAGATCTGTTATCTTGTCTATACATATCAAAGCATAGTTGAAAAGTATTGGTTTAATAATCGCAACGAAGATCCAGTGAGAGATAGCGGGAGGAAGACCCCAAGTGCAGCCCAACATGCACATGTATAGGGCAGCTGATGCCTGCTTGCCTCGTTTCTCTAAATTGAATATCCACGACAACTTGCTATCCAATACGAATTCCCAGGTACTTAGTGCTCGGCTGTATGTATTTTCTTGTGAATAGAACCAAAACTATTTATTTCATCAGTATTTACCTTAAGTCCTGCTGAAATAGCCCAGTTGTTAGTGGTTCTAAGTGCTTGATTCACCGGTGATCCGAAGGTTGCCAGACACTTATCGCACACGATGACTCAGATACGGTGCACATAGGCTGTAACGATGGCAGCTCCCCTGTGAGCTTCCTCAGCAATGTATTAACCACAAAGGTCCAGATCCGAGGTGATAATACTCCGTACTTTGTAGTTTCTCCGTGCAGTATTTAGAAAGAAGTTGCCCAAAGCAGACGATAGGTAAAGAACATAGTCTATTTTAACTAACTTAGCTGAAATGGCTCCAAATAATCTCCAGGTGTACGAGTACATTGAGAACTGTTCCAATGACTTTCTCAAGTAAATCTTGACGTTTTATTTAACGAAGCTGATCGTGAGAAACTTTCTCAGGTGATTATAGGATTAATAATTACATACCTATATTTTACATATTTTTATGATATAATTAATAATTTGTATTCGCTTGCTTTACAAACTTTCAGTATTCCCAGTAGAAATCCATTCAATAAAAACGATCGCTGCAACTTTGGCCAATAATTTTTATGTAATTCCCCCCAAACTGTGGTTATCCCCAAGTAAACAAAAAAATTCGGTGAAAACTTTTAACAAGCATTGCTTAGTTGTTTTTTTTTCTCTACTTTGTCTTCTCATTCTACTTGTCAGATGAGTTGCCTGCATGTGCTAGTGACGTCATTAAAGCCAAGTTTGCAGCTACGCATCGATCAATTTTGGCGTAATACATACATACATGCATATGTTTGTGTAAATTAAATATTTGCACACATATATGTATAATTATTGTACATACGTTTATGTATATATTTTCCTCATCAGCATGCGAAGTAAGACGTTAATTGCAGTTCCGAGTAGTTGTAGAAATGAATAAT